TAGAACCAATAAAACCCTTTTTGAACCTTGGTGCCTCAGTAGTTGGATATAACACTTTATTAAGAATGACATTACTGACAGAACCAGTGAGATATGACATAATCCATTCAATACTTCTTCTATTTGAATCATGCCTCAATATATCATTGTATAAAGGATAATAAACACTGCTTTGGGACCAACTCCAATACCCAAAACAAAACGCAAACCATTTAGCTCCATCCGAAACATTCCAAACTGAAAGTATTACATTACCAATGAAATTCATACTTTGTGCAAAACTAATCATCAAAAATCTCTTACGGATAAAATCTGAACCATGGCAAACAATGAAAACGTAAAATATACCCAATGCCGGAGGAATTGATGAATAATTATTAATTTTTCCAATACTATAACGATTTAATGATTTCAACCAAAGGACAAAGCTACCACTCGCTATTGCTATTAAATCCACCTATATTTGAGAGTGTAAAGATCCAAAAGATCCAACTCCCAAATATGGTTTTATAAACCTTTGGATCAAAAAATTGTTTAGTTGTAGGTGGTTTCTCATCTGTACCATTTTCTCTCATTCTTTTCCTTGCTAATTTGATTTCATCATCTGTCAACCATATTGAATAACATTTGAATGGTGTTCCAGGGACACAGAAAAGTGTTATAAGTGTTATAGTAAATGCAATAACCCCATCAATCAAAAACATATACCTCCAACCAGAAATATTATTTACACCATCAAGTGCATTGAAAATCGCACTTTGTAATAAACCTGATGTAAGGGTTCCTAAATACAATCCAAAATAGTATGTACCAGTTCGACGTTGTATCTCTGTTGGCTTATAGAAATTTGCGAAGATATAATGATACATTGGAAAAAACAATCCTTCACCAGCACCAACCAAGAATCTCATACCTTTCAAAGCAGCAGGATTTTTAACAGTTGATAAGGTCAAAGTGAAAACGGACCAAAAAAGCTCTGCTCCAAAGAGCATATAAGTTGGATTAATTCTTGGTAATGTGAAAATAAATGGAAGTTCAAAAATAATATTAGCAGCTGAAAATAAAACTTGAGTATCAATCAAATCATTACCTTTCATACCAATATCTTCTTTCATACCTGAAACATAAGCATTGTTTAAGTTAGATTGACTTAAACTCTTGGACCAATAACCTAAAAATGCAACAAATGTGATCAAAATATCAAGTTTTGTAATTAATTTCTTCTCTTCAGACGATGTACCCTTGTCAAACCATCTCCACCAATCATGTTTATTCAACTCTTCTGTTGTGTATCTGTATTCAAATTCATTGAAGAAATGGTACCATTTTCTATTTGCTTCATCTTTATATTCTCTAACTTGATATAGCTGTTCTTCTTTATTTGCACTCTTTTTGATTCTCAACCTATAACCTTCATCAATCTCTTCTTGAGTCTCAAAGACATATCTCTTTTGAGGAATCCACCATGGAAGTTTCGATAACCATGATTTTTTAGGACTAGTTGCTTCTAAACTCTGGGTCTCAAGCTTTGAATCAGACATTTGATGAAAAAATTTGTGTAAATTTATTGATTTCTGCCCAAAACTCGAGAGTATAAGAACAATAGTGATCTATCCCGAACTTTTATACATTTTGATAATATTCCACACATTTAAATAGTCGTGCTTAAATTACCAAAGTAGGTAGAGCTAGAAGTACTATCACTTTTCATCTTGTCAATTAATCTTTAGATTTGAAAATTGAAGCCATACTTTTGTACTGGAGTCAACAAGATATTGTTAAGGGACACTATCACATACCAGAAATATCTACAAACATTGCATTTCTTTCTTATGGATCACAACATTTATTCATTGATAAAAAGCTAATCTAAATCCATCATAAATTCCTTGATATGTCTAATCAAACATTCTTCTGAGTTATCAACAACAGCTTTAACATTATCAACAACGAATGAAGTAATTTTTGGAATAGTAGAGCCATCTTTAATATCAAGAACTTCACAATGGAAACCAGAAGTTGCAACTTTTACAAAATTTTTCCTTGTAGTTTTCTTTGTTTGCATGGAAACATCATTACCAATTGTATAAAGTAAAAAATGATTATAATCTGTTATTATACCATGATTATTCAATGCGAAAATAGCTTGACAAAACCCTTGTGTGAATAAATTCTTCAAATTATTACTTTTATGTGTAATTTTCCCCTTATCATCTAAAAAATCTTGAACATATGAATTCAAAGTGCTTGGTTCACAAACCAAGATTGTCATAGCAGCTATATCAACATCACTAATTGGTTTATGATAAATCAGACACATATCTGAAACCAATTGAAATTGAACATCTGGAACATCCGAAACTTTTGATTTCTCAGGTAAATCGTTCTTCAAATCATAATTCTCTCTAATGGTAATAGAATACCCTAAATTGGAAAGGATTGTCAGCACTGGATTGAAAATGTTGGATTTGATCACTTGAACCAGATCTCTTTTAGTGAATGAGTTCAAACAGCGGCTATTTAAGAAAGCCTGAGCTTGGGCCAATTCATTATTGATCTTTAACAGCTTGAAGGATTCTGATTTATATAATTCAAAGACAAGTTTAACATCCCATTCATCTTTGAAAACATCATTTGTAAATTTTTCAATCAACACTGGACCATAACGTGTTGTTTCAGTAACATTTTTACTAATTTTAGTAGTGGTGAATGGGTTCATATTTTCATCATTATCAAGTTTAAGTTCAATCAGGGGAGATCTACCAGTATCAGGGAAATAAGGTGGTGCCAAATTGAAGTAAGAGCTTACTTCAAACAAATAACCAATAACAGGATCCTTTTTATATGGTTTCAATGTTTTCAACAGGTTATTAATTGTACTTCTAACGATATTAAACTCTTTTATATCTTTAACCCTCAACGTGGTTGGCTTAATAATAACATCAAATCTAGTGAGATATAACTCCTTCCTTTTGTAGTTTCTCATTTTTGGACCCTCAGCAGCATATGTTTCATTGATCAGTTGTAATTGAAGTTGGAAATCCAGCGATAACTCTTGATATTTAACCTTGAACTTTTCATAATCACTTGTAGCCTTCAATAAGGACTTCAGGTTCTTGATACCCGTCAACAAACCAGCCTCCATGACGGTGGTATATTCACACTAACAGCCACTTGGTTCACCACTTTCCCATGAAGTTGTTGTTTCAATTGTGTAAAACTAGCCGCTGAGCTTTTTGAGATCTGGAGTTTATGGATTTTTGTCACAAAACTTGATTCCAAAACCGATTCGCGGGATGATTTTGAGGGTGATTCAGCTCAGTATAGCAGTATATTGATTAACAGCAACAGTGTTGAGAATTTATATCCCTTATTTGAAGCAGTCGTTATGATGATTGCCCTGTATTGAGTGGAAACTTTTGCTATAACCAGAACCATCCCTAATATACCCACTTTCGTGGATTTTTATATCATTCAGAATCAACATTTAATCAACCCACAATCATTGAGGACAACGAACCAGAATCATTTTGATATTCTAAAGTTTCAAGGCCAAAAATAAGCTGAAAGTATACCCAGATGAAGCTTAATATGTCTATACTCCATAGTGATTCCTGCAAGACTCCAGTTGTTGACTTATTGGTGTACTTGTCTAAGTAAAATTTAAATCTCAAGTTTTCTCAAGTCAGAGTTCAAAAATTTTGAAAATTATTTCGGCCGCGTCCTCGTTGAAAATCAATTAACCACTGTGCATGGATCTTTCAGAATACGACGGGAGATACTTCTGTACTTGAGTGACATGTCTAGTACGTCTCTAAATGAGATATGTTGCGTATCTATTATTTGATTACAGAACGGATCGGCTCATTTTATCACCAAATTGCCTCTTAGACTTTAGTTAATTAATATTTTTGTGTCCAATCATGCCAATATTGGATCTGACCCGATAATTCAAAGCCACAGCTGACCCGAACCTTTTTCATAACTTATAAGCTCATCGCTTGGTTACAGTGGTCAGTGGTAATGAAATATTTTTTTTGATTCACAATTAAACTTGTAACGTCCTGATATGTTAAAATACATGGTAGCTTTAAGGCAAATGCGCTCTATGGTACCAAGATAAGCTCAAAACTTACAACTATGGCGTCTTTACGAAGTCAATATTTATACTATAAAGTCAGATCTTTATGAGATGCGTTTTGAGTTGCTGAAAGCTATCACCGTTGTGGAGTCACATTTCTAATTCATCGTTAGTCAAACTGTAGAGTACTTAGATTCTTATAAAATGAAGCTAATATCTTCATCTTCATAATGATCTGTATTAGCTTGTACATCATAACAAACTACAACATTTCAAATGTCTGGAACAGAAAAGGACAACGTTACCACCGTTGTTGACTCCAGTTTATCTGATGATCAACAAACTTCAAATGAGCACACACACTCAAGAGCTTCTCATTGGAGTCAAAAATTACCATGGTTTATTCCTCATGAAAGAATTGTTAATGAAACTGCTGAAGAGATTGCTGAAGGTTATACATTAAGAAAAAAAGATGAAGATGAAAGAGAGAAATTATCATATAACGTTAGAGAATATAGAGATGAAGCTAATAGAAAATGGTACTCTTTTTTCAATGAATATGAGTATAGACTTACAAAAGTTGAACAAGCTAGACATGATTGGTGGAGATGGTTTGAAAAAGGTACTCCATCTGCTGAGAAGAAACTTATCAATAAATTAACAATTTTAATTGGGTTTACATCACTTCTTGGGTTTTGGTCATTTAGTTTAAGTCAAACTAATTTAAACAATGCTTATGTTTCAGGTATGAAAGAAGAAATTGGTATGAAAGGTAATGATTTGATTGATACTCAAGTTTTATTTTCAGCTGCTTCTATTATTTTCCAATTACCATTTATATACATTCTTCCAAGATTGAATCCAACTTATACATTGTTCGTTGCAGAGTTGATCTGGTCTATATTCACCTTAGCTCAAACTAGAGTGGAGAATCCTCAAACATTGAAAGCATTAAGGTTTTTAGTTGGTGCTTCTGAATGTGCATTTTTCCCTTTGGTACATTACATGTTTGCAAGTTGGTTTCGTCCAATGTTTGCAAGTAGACAAGGATCATTACTTTATTTTGGGTTATATATTGGGAATTTAACGTCTGGGTTGCTTCAAGCAAGTATTCATGATGCTTTAGATGGTGTCCATAACCTCGCTGGTTGGAGATGGATGTTTTTAATTGATGGTTTAATATGTTTATTTATTGCTTTTTTCACTTTATTTACAATTCCAGGGACTCCTTTTTACTGTTATTCTATTTGGTTGACTGATGATGAGATTAAATTAGCAAGAAAGATTATGAGAAGAAATGGTACTGATGAAAAACCACCAACTAGAAAACAATTTTTTGACAAGGCCGTTTGGAAGAAGATATTCAGCTCGTGGCACTTCTGGGTGTTCACCATCAGTAATCTTGGGGGCTGCAAGTGGGTCTTTCATTCTTTGGTTAAAGAGCTTGAATAAATATTCAATTGGAAAAATCAATAATTTTTCAGCTATTCCACCAGCGTTGGGAGTTTTTTATGTTTTCATTGTTTGTGTTGGTGCGGATTTAACTAGACAGAGGTTTACTTTAATTACATTTTCCCAAATAATGAATTTGATTGGTAATGCAATATTAGCTGTTTGGGATGTTCCTGATAGTGCTAAATGGGTTGGTTTTTGTTTTGGTTATTGGAGCTGGTCACAAAGTTCAACGTTCTATCCATTGATGAATGATATTTTGAGACATGATGCTAATCAAAGAAGTATTGAATGGATTTTGAGTTATCTCTTTTGTGCACAAAGTAATGTCTGGCTTAACAAGATTATGTATCCTACAACTGAAGCACCTAAGTTCACAAAAGGGTTCACTGGTGCTGCATGTTGGTCAGCTGTTCAAGGTATCGCTATGATGGTGGGTTTAGTATTTTACAAAAGAGATGAGAAAAGAGAAGCATATGATAATGGTATTGTTGTTTATAATAGTGCCAAAGGTGAAACCAAAGAGTCAGCTTTACTTCAAATTAGAGAAAAAATTTCAAAAGAAACAAATGGTGAAGTGGAAGCTATTGCAGTATCAAGTGAGAAAAGTAAATAAGCTATAGTCTAAATATTTAGGATTAATATATAGTATGTAATTGAGAGAAAATGGGATCTATAGAACCATAATAATATAACCGAAGTTGTAGTTATAGTAACGTAATTCAGACATATATCTGGAATTGGGGTTAAGTAGTTCATTGCAGCAGTTGATGATCTTCACTCTGTTAATACATTTAGTACAACAAATATGGGATGATATATTAAACCACCTAACATATCTCCCGAGAAGATATTGAATTCTTTCAGAATATAATAGTATAAATTATTCAATTTCACAGATATCTGTAGTGTTTGTACGTATTAAACTGATGATCGCCCGTAACTTTAAAATTACAGCTCTCTGTAGTTAAAATCATTATCCGAACAGCTTCATATAATAGTCAAGGCAGATATGGTAATTAATATATAAATACAATTGTGTAGATACGTAAATAGGGCTTAATTTATGTGTTCTTTAAAACGCTATATAAGGAGCAGAAATTATCTATTATTTGAGTACGATCTATTGTTAGATAGTTTAATATATCATCCATATTTGTTGTACTAAATGTATTAACAGAGTGAAGATCATCAACTGCTGCAATGAACTACTTAATCCCAATTCAATTACGTTACTATATCGTACTTCGGTTATATTATTATGGTTCTATAGATCCCATTTTCTCTCAATTATAACTAAAGCTACACGTTTAATTGCAAAAATTAAAATTAAAGATCAAAAAGCCTAAGTATATTTCAAAAGTTAGTATATAAATTGATCATGAACGAGTCATCTGGTTCTCTCATAAAACTGAAAGTTCAAAACTTCCAATCATTTGATATTTGGATCACTTGTAACTCTTGTAATATATTTACCAGTATTCTTACCAGAGAATAAACCATTCCATAATTCAGGAACTTTCTTGAAGTTCTCACCAGAACCATCAACAACAGTTTCTTTGATTTTTGAAGCATCAATAACACCAGATTTAATCAATTCAGATAAATGTTGAATAATTTGTGGGAATTGTTCTCTATCATCAGAGACAATAAACCCTCTGATTGATAATCTTTTGGTGACCACATTTGAATATGCTTTGAAAGCAGCTTTTGAAATATCATTGTAACCAGCAATTGTACCAACTTGAACAATTCTTCCAAAATCTTTCAAAAAGAAACTTGCATGATCCAAAATTTCACCACCAACTTGATCAACATAAACATCAATCTTATCATCACCAATTGCTTTAGCAAAATCTTCCTTGTATGTTTTTGACTTGTAATCTAATCCATAAACATTACCATTACCTAAAGATTCAACATATTTGACTTTTTCATCACCACCAGCAACTGCTAAAACTTTTTTAGCTTTAAAAACTTTAGCAAAAATTTGAACCAAAACAGCACCAACAGCACCAGCAGCACCAGTAACTAAAAACACTTTGTCTTGTGAATTTTCAGGATCTGTCAATTCAGCATATTTGTAGGCTGAAACATATGCCGTCAATGTGGTGGACCCGAAAACACTTAAATATTTGGTTAATGAATCAAATCTTGTCGGATCTATTTTATAAGTACCAAATTGGGCTTCAGGAATGATGTTGTGGGTGGCCCAATTGATGTTTGAAGAAATGATATCACCTTCTTTATAATTTTCAGAATTTGCCTTAATAACTTTTGCAATACCACGAGATGGAGCTGGACTATGTGGAGGGGATGGAGCAACGTATCCTGGCTGTTTCGACCACCACCCTTTTTGAGCAGGGTCATTGGAAAAGAACAAAGATTCAATCAAAAGTTCACCTTTCTTCAACAATTTTGAATCATTTAGGTCATATTTAACATCCTCAAGAATGAAAGTTGCATCTTTGGAACCATAGTTTAAATTGATTGGTTGATCAAATGTAGTCTTGTTTTCCAAGATCCAGTGTTGAGCATTGATAACGTTTGACATTGTTGAATTGATATATTGTTGATTATTGATATGGATCAACTATGTTAAGGGGTGGGTCGTATTGGAAATTTACTCTTTTTTATATGTTTTTTTGACACTTTGCTTTCACCGACTATATGCGCGCACCGTTGCGATGTTGCGATGCTCAAATCAACAGAAATGTCGCAAAAATTTCAGTTCATTTCAAATTTAATTTTGAATCTTGAATTTTGTGCCGACTGGGACCGGTCATCGGAGACTTCGGTCGGAGATCGGGGTCTCGGATTTAAAAATTAGTGGATTATTAATTAACACCATGAATACACAATTTGCAATTAGATCATGATTGTTAGGGTTTGGACGTATAGCTAAGTCACTACTTGAATAATGTGATAGCTGGAGTGTATCACTTTAGTTCTGGTGGTGTATACTATACCAGCTCTCTTGATGTACAATTGTTGGCTAGTTCACCGGATGCGTCTTCTTACCAGATCCACAGTTTTGGCATAATCTATTGTATGTGGAGTCGTGGAGTCGTATAGATCCACAGTAGTACTTTAATTAGGCGTAAGATCCAGATCAGGTATTTTATCCTCTAATCATAAGAGCCAATATCAGATGTGGCATTAGCTATACAAAGGGTAGGAGTTGTATATATATCTTATATCAGTCGAATAGAATAAGGAGTTTTGTATGGCATCTTATAAGCTCAAACATCTAACGCAATGACTGTTGATTATATACCACCCCAGAAATCCTATTCCAATGGAAAGTTATCTATTGATAAGCTTGATTTACCAGAGGCTCATATTATTCATGGTCGTGAATTCCCAGTTGCTTATGCTTTGAACTTGAATGATCATGAGTACAATAGAGATGAAGTTGAAGAGTTCTTAACTAGTTTATCCCAAAAGGGGGTCATTACTCAATTGATAGAAAATCATGGTGTGTTTGTTCTTAGAGATTCAGTTGAAAACTCTGATGAATCAAAAGCTGCTGAAGTTGCATCAATCATTCGTCATATTGAAGAAGGTAGAAATCAAGTTCAATTTGAACAAAATGGTACTTTAACTACAAGAGATAAAAAGGGGTTTAATCTATACACTGCAAATAAATCACCACCAGAGTCTGTAATCTTGCAACATAATGAATTTTCTAGATTTAAAAGGTATCCAAACTCTTTGGTTTTTTCTATATTGGAATACACAGCTACAGGTGGTGAAACTCCTTTAGTTCATGGTGGTGAATTGTATGAAAAGGTTGCTAAAGAGTTACCACAGTTCTTAGAAAAATTATCCCAAACTGGGTTACAATTCAATAATGAAATTTGGTATAAAGATGAATCTGAAAGAGCTTATTGGAATCATGAAGTTACATTTGGTAGAAATATAAAACCTGAAGATGATTTTGAAACCAAAAAGAAAAAAGCACTTAAGATTGCTCATGAATACATTTCTGATAATGCTTGGTTTGATGAAGATGATAATTTGTTAGCTTCTTCTAAAACATGGCCTGTTAAAACTTTTAAAGATGAGCCATTATTGTTCAGTTCCATTGCAGCGTTTAGTGACAAATATACCACTGATGAACCAAAGATTAAATATGGTGATGGGACCGTTTTCTCCAAAGAAGACTTGAACAAATATAAAAAAATCACTGAAGAATTGGAATACAAACATAATTGGAAAAGTGGTGATATTGTTTTCATTCATAATTATCAAGTCAGTCATGGTAAATTACCTTATAAAGATGGTAAGAGATCTACACTTGTTGGGATGTGGGATGTTCAAGATCATACTAAACAACCTTTCAAGAACTTTCAAGTTGAGAAATCTGATCTGGAATCAGTCAATTCCAACTTGGAAGCTTTGAAAGTTTAAGATGTATAGTCCTTTAAAATTTGTTGTTGAGTTTTAGTGTAGTAGCCATACTATGTAATAGCTTACAAAATAATATTCATACTTTTTTTATTTGAATCAACTATGAAAACATGTATACTTTACCAGAAGCACCACCACCAACAATCCAATTTTCAGTTTGATGGAAATTTGCCACAGCTGGTACAACTGTTAATAAAGGATCTGATAAATGAGCTAATTGAATACCATTTCTATCATAAACATCAAAATATTTATTCATATTTGCAATAACAACTTTTTCAGTCTTATCTTTTGGTAATTTATGCCATTTTGCCTTTAATATAGAAACCCATCTACCTGTTTGACAATTATGTTTAATTCTATGATCTTGATTCAATTCACCTATGATATGTTTTGATTCCCATTTATGTGCATCTTCACCTAAATTGAAAATATTAACAGTATCATCATATCCATTACAAACTAAATCATTTGAATGATTCCAATCCACTGTGGAGACTGATAATCTTGAATCATATGTTCCAATATTATGTGCACTTTCGAAATCATCATATTCACTCCAATCAGCATGGACAACATTTCTTAAATCCCAAATTTTTAATGTTCTATCTAATGATGCTGTAGCTATATGATTTGGATTATTTGGACTTATTGTAAAACCACCAATTTTTTTATCAGATAATCTTAATACAGTTTTTTGACTATGATCACCACTTCTTAAATCTAAACGACCAAATTCACCTTCTAAAGTGGTATAATAAATTTCATTATGATTATTAAAATTTATATCTGATATACCAATATCACCATCATTAATGAAAAATTGTGAAGATTTCATTGTGGATAAATCCATGGTTCTAATTGATCCATCATAACTTGCTGAATAAACTTTATTTGGTTCATTAATATTAAATTCATATTTACAAATTGATTTACCATGTAATTTAAAAGATGTAATATCAACATTTTCAGTATTTTCTGAATCCCATATACCACAATTACCTGCAGTATCACCACCAATAACGATTTTTTTATCAATTGAAGGATGAAATGTAATATAAGTCATTCTTTCTTTTGTTAATTTAATATCATTTGGTTTAAAGTGTGGATATATTTCCTTTGATGAGAATTCTTCACGTAAATTTTTAACATCTTTTGAAGAATTATCCTTTTGCATTATAGTTTCATAATAATCACCAATACTGAAATTTCCATTAATATTTAGAAAAGATTGAAATTTGGATAATATTTTATTATCATCCTCTTCTTCTTTAACATCATCTGATTTAATTAAGTCTAAAAGACTTAAATCACCATTAACTCTAATTGTTTTCAATTTTTCCAACTCTTCACGTTCTCTACGTCTTTTATCTTCTTCAAGTTCAAATTTTTTAGTCTTTTCAGTATCATCTAGAGCAACACCTGCAATTCTTCTTGATCTTCTTGTAGCTACAGCTGGAGTTGCTTCAATTTTAGGTTTTTTAGGTCTGGGACTTGAAGTTCTCTTTCTTTTATTATTCAATTCATTTTCTTCTTCTTTTTTAATATTTTGATAAATTTCACCAGATATTGAGTTCAAGTTTAAAGAATTTAATAATTTCTTATTACGTTCGATATTTTCCAATCTTTGTTTCTCAAAATCTGACAGTGCCATGTTGTTTTATTTGGTTATTCTTCAAGATCACCACTTTCAAGATTCATGAGTACAATTGATTTCTTCGGTATACGCGTATATAAAAAAAAATACGCGACCTTTTGCGATGACAGTCGTATACAAAATTTTCCAGAATCTCCAGATTTTAACGGCTTAACAATAAACTATTAAGATCAAGGCAAACCCACAGAATGTCCAATATTTTAAACGTTTTCAATCCTCCACAACCAAGGGATCTTGAACCAGCAGAGTATGAAGACTGTTTACCATGTCAAATCATGGCTACAGTATCAGCTTTAGGTGCAGGTGCTTGGTTTGCAAGTGGTCAATTATTTGAAGATTCAAAATTATCACAAGCTGAAAATTTAAAAAAAAATCCAATGTGGTGGAGATATTTTATTAAAGGTTCTGGTTATGGATTAATTGGATTTGGTGTTTTTAGAGGGACTGAAGGATGGTTATGGAATACACCAGAACAAAAGAAATTGAAATAGGGGCCCATGTGGTCAACCTACAATTATGAGTTAACGAAAGATTTAATAAATGCATTGGAAATCATGAACTGAAACAAATTAAAACACAAATAAAAACTATATAGTAACAATAATGGGAATGATTATTAATGGTATTAAAAAAGTTGTAAATATTTTCTGTTTTATTGATTATTTCTTTGGTTTTCTTAATTTTTTAGCCAAATGTCTTAATAATTGTCTTGAATCTTCAGTTTGATATTTTGTTATAAAACTTTTTGGCATTTGTAATAATTCTAAAGGAGTTGGTCTTTCATTTTGCTTTTTTAAACATAATTCCACAAAATCACATAATTCTTTACTAAATTTACTTTTCGATAATGATGGAGGTTCTTCATTAACAATTCTTTGTAATAAATCCAAAATACCATTTGGTGTATCTTTTTTACCAAAGGGGAACTCACCAGTTGATAATTCAATCAACATTAACCCTAATGACCAAACATCCCCCTTTATTGAATAAACATCACCTTGAATTCTTTCAGGTGACATATAAGTTGAAGTCCCCACAAATGTATCAGCAATTGAATTATTATTTAATTCTCTACTAACCCCAAAATCACAAATTTTAACTTCACCTTTTGAATTTAACAGGACATTTGAAGGTTTTATATCTCTATGAATAATTTTATGATTTGCATAAAGATAATTTAAACCTTGTAATATAGCATAGGTGATTTTACTTGAATAAACTTCTTTTAAAAACCCCAATTTCTTCAATATATAATCCAGGGAACCACAATCCATATATTCCATACAAATCATAACACCATTACTTCTTATACCTGGGACTTCATTATTAAAATCTTTGGGTATTTTTAAATCATCTTTGGAATCTTTATGTTTTTCCTCAGTGGCAGTTGTTGGTGTTGCAGAAGTTGATGTGGAACTTGCACTATCAATGAATATAGCACCATAAAATTCAATAATATAAGGATTTTTAACATCATTTAAAATTTTCAATTCTCTTAAAATTTGATTTTGAACTTTAAAATTTTTTTCAAACATAATTTGCTTTTTAGCCATTGTTTTATTTGTTGGAACATGTAAAATTTTACTTACTGAACCTGATTGACCTTCACCAAGGGTTTTCAAAGTTAATAAATCTTGTTGTTTTAAATTATATTGATTATTTATAGTTATAGTTAATTTTTCAAAATTTTCTAATAATTCTAAATTTTCTTCATTATGTTTATTTGAAGTTGAAGAATTTGGAGTGGGTATTTTCAAGCTATGATTTGGAGAGTTAATTGATGGGGTTGAATTTGATTCTTGTTCATCATTAAGTGTTAATTTCTTGAGATTTCTTCTTTTTAATGTTTTTGGTTGAAACATTGAACCAGCAGCATTACCACCAATACCACCACCAACAGCACTACCACCAGTAGGACTATGAGAGCTTGATGGACCTGCAAGAGTAAGACCTGGTAAATTCAAAGGTTTTATAGTTGGAGATGATAAATTTGAAGGAGATTGAGGTTGAGAATTGAAATTGATATTGTGGGTTTGAAGTTGAGGTTGAGGTTGGTTCTGGGCCTGGCTATTATCCAGTATGATTGGAGGCAGAGGTTTGTTTCTGCTAACGTTGATGCTGAGCGTGGAGCTCTTTCTATTGGACGTGGAACTAGTGGAACTCATTCCAGATGAGTGAAATTGATAATAAATTGTTCTTTTGAGGTTTACCTTTCTCAGATCTTTTTTAGTTTATTTGATATTCAATTTCAATTTTGATTTAAAAATTCAAAATTCTTTATGAAACTTGTTAAAAAACGCAAAGAAAAACGAAAAATTATGATATTTTTAGCAAAAATGGCATTTGTTATTACCCAATAAAGTAATTATGAATGAATCTGATAATTATTGATATAGCAACACATATTCACTACCTATTAGGGAAATAATGACACTTGTTCGCGCATTTTGGCATACCCATTACCCAATATGGTTATTGTCAAATTTTCAATGCAATATCAGTTACAACTTATTACCTGTTTGGGAAATCAATCCATTTTTCTCATCAACAAATTAAAAAGTTCAACAAAAAAACAAAAATTTGGGCGAAAGATGGTTGTTTTAATATGGTTGTATTAATTAAAATTCAAAGAAATCATTAAACAATCAATTGAAAATCAACTTTTTAAGCTCAATTTTAATCAATTTGTTAAGTAAAAAGAATTCATATCGTGCTGGTAATTAAAATCACAGAATATTTGTTAATTTAAGGCAATAGCGCTGTTTTATTTCATAATAGAGAACAATATAAATACAATTCATACAACACAACAAAATGTCCACTGATTGGAAACAAGGATTATCAATCCCAGAAAAAGATACAAGACCACAAACTGAAGATGTTACAAAGACAAAGGGGAATTCATTTGAAGATTTTTATCTAAGTAGGAAATTATTAATGGGTATTTTTGAAGCTGGTTTTGAAAAACCAAGTCCTATTCAAGAAGAATCAATTCCTGTGGCACTTGCAGGTAGAGATATATTAGCAAGAGCTAAGAATGGTACTGGTAAAACTGCATCTTTTATTATCCCAGTATTGGAAAAAATTAAACCAAATGTTGATCAAATTCAAGCTTTAATCCTTTTACCAACAAGAGAATTAGCTTTACAAACTTCTCAAGTTGTTAAAACTTTAGGGAAAAGATTAGATGTCAAAGTTATGGTTTCTACTGGTGGTACTTCATTAAGAGATGATATTGTTAGATTAGAAGAACCTGTTAATGTCTTGGTTGGTACTCCAGGTCGTATTTTAGATTTAGCTTCAAGAAATTTAGCTGATTTATCAAAATGTTCAATGTTTGTTATGGATGAAGCTGATAAAATGCTTTCACAAGAATTTAAAAGAATTATTGAACAAACTTTATCATTTTTACCATCAAAACATCAATCTTTATTATTTTCTGCAACTTTCCCTTTAACAATTCAAGATTTTATTGCAAGAAATTTGAAAAATCCTTATGAAATTAATCTTATGGATGAATTAACTTTAAGAGGTATTACAAATTATTATGCTTATTTGGAAGAAGCTCAAAAATTACATTGTTTACATACATTATTTTCCAAATTACAAATTAATCAATCAATTATTTTTTGTAATTCATCCAAAAGAGTTGAATTATTAGCTAAAAAAATTACTCAATTAGGTTATTCATGTTATTATTCTCATGCTAAAATGCCTCAAGATGCAAGAAATAAAGTTTTCCATGAATTTAGACAAGGTAAAGTTCGTAATTTAGTTTGTTCTGATTTATTAACAAGAGGTATTGATATTCAAGCTGTTAATGTTGTTATTAATTTTGATTTCCCAAAAAATGCTGAAACTTATTTACATAGAATTGGTAGATCTGGTAGATTTGGTCATTTAGGTTTAGCTATTGATTTTGTAACATGGAATGATCGTCAAAATTTATTTAGAGTTGAAAAAGAATTAGGTATTGAAATTCCAAAAATTCCAAATAATATTGATGAAAGTTTATATGTTGCAACAAATTCTAAAAATGTTCCAAAACCTTTCCCAATTCAAAATTTACCAAATGCTTATACAAATGGTTTCAACTATAGAGGTCAACCTGAATTAAATAATGATCAATCTTCAATCCCTACAGCTCCAACTTCATTACCTCAATCTAGTATCCCACAACAACAAACACCACAACAAGCTCAACAACAAGTTAATCAAACTCCCCCACAATCACAACAAACTACCACTACATCATCAACTTTTTCTCAACCACAACAAGTTATTAATGGATCACCAGCTATTCCACAACCACAAGTTATCCCACCACAAGGATTCCCTCCACAAGGTTATGGTTATCCTCCACAAGGTTATCCACCACAAGGATTCCCACCTCAAGGTCAATTCCCACCAAATGGATTCACTGCTTATCCACCACAAGGTGCTTATCCTCCACAATTTCAACAACAACAACAACAACCATCATCACAACAATCTCCTCAACTTCAACAACCTTCACAATCTCAATAATCAATAGATTTTGAAGATTATTATGTTAATATGACCAAAGTTATGACTTGATTTTTATTTTGTTTTTGAAGATTATATTATTATATTATCTGGTACTTTAACGTTGTTTTTTTATATGAAGTACCCTAATGTTTGTGATTTTTTTGTTTTGATTTATAAAAAGCTGTTTTTGTTATTTCTTTAATCATTGAATTGAAATTTTTTTATTTTGTTTTATATGTTATATGTGATGATAAAGTTTATCCTGCAAACGTTCAAGTTTTTCATTTCTAATTTAATTTTTATATCAATTTTATTAGTATATTTCAATTCAATTAATGATTAAAAGGAAACTTTTGGAAAAAAACCCCTAGAAAAAAAAGAAAAAAAAAATATATTTGTTTTTATTGTTTATTTGTTTATTTGAAAGTTTTATGATGATCTCTTAGTACATGACTGATCCATATCCAATGGATTGAAGGATTGGAAAAGTTGATTTAAAAAGTGTTTTAGTACATGACTGATCCATACCCAATGGATTGAAGAATTGGAAAAAACTCTTTGATCATAAGCTTTCTATTTTTTTTATACTTGCATTATTTTATTTGATGAATGTGATGGTTTTTGTTAACAATCATTTACATTTACAAAGATTAAAAAGATGAAAAGGATATTTTAATAAAAAATTTATATGATGGTTTTTGTTTTTACATTTTTTATTTAATTTTCCCCATTGTTTATTATATCCTTGATTGATAGTTTTATTTGAATATTATGAAAGAAATATCAATCTAAACTGAATTTGTTGTAAATGAAGATATTATTCGAGGTTCGACCATTAGAATTGTGCTTATAGTAGGCCAAATTCAACGGTTTTTTAACCAAAAGACATCACATAACATACCACTCAACCCACAGTCACTAAATACCAACCTAATCAACCCTTACCACCCAATAACCCTCATAAAACTCCATTAAATCAAACAAATTGATCAAATTGTTCTGGTTATATGTCAAATTTCCATTCGCGAACGTCTTTAATATTAAGAAAATTCGCGGCTGTCAATTCAGAGTCAAAAAAATCTTTTAATTTTTATCTGATGAGCATTAAAATAAAAAGCAGCTACAGATTCAAATCTTTAACCAACAACTTTTAACAACTTTCCACTCATCAACACTCTTTAACACAAAATTTATACACAATGTCTCTCAATATCCTTGTCGTGGGTAACGGTGGTCGTGAACACGCTCTTATCTGGAAGTTATCCCAATCAAAATTGGTTAATCATATCTATGTCGCCCCAGGTAATGGTGGTACTGATTTATTCCCAAATGTTACCAATATAAATATTGGTTCATCTAAAAAGGAATTCCCTGAATTAGCTAACTTCGCTCAAGAAAATGATATTGGTTTAGTTGTTCCAGGTCCTGAACAACCTTTAGTTGAAGGTATTACTACTGTTTTCACCAAGATTGGTATACCAGTTTTCGGTCCTTCAGAAAAAGCTGCTGTATTAGAAGGTTCAAAAGCTTTTTCCAAAGATTTTATGGCAAAACATAATATTCCAACTGCTGAATATAAGAATTTCAAAGATTTTGAATCTGCTAAAGCTTATATTCAAAGTGTTTCTCATAATGTTGTTATTAAAGCTGATGGTTTAGCTGCTGGTAAAGGTGTTTTGATCCCACAAACTAAACAAGAAGCTATTGATGCTTTAACTCAAGTCATTGTTGATAAAGAATTTGGTGATGCTGGTAATGAAGTTGTTGTGGAAGAATTCTTAGAAGGTGATGAAATTTCAATCTTAACTATTGCTGATGGTTATTCTTGGTTTAATTTACCTCCTGCTCAAGATCATAAACGTATTGGTGATGGTGATTCAGGTTTAAACACTGGTGGTATGGGTGCTTATGCTCCAGCTCCAGTTGCCACTGCTCAATTACAAAAACAAATTGATGAAACTATTATTAAACCATCAATTGAAGGTTTTAGAAAAGATGGTTTCCCTTTCAAAGGTGTTCTTTTCACAGGTATTATAATTACAGCTACTGGTCCAAAAGTTTTAGAATATAATGTTAGATTTGGTGATCCAGAAACTCAAACCGTTTTACCATTATTAACTGATGATACTGATTTAGCTGAAGTTATGCTTGCTGCTGCTGAAGGTAGATTAGATTCAGTTAAAATTGATGTTAAAAAGGATCAATTTGCAACAACTGTTGTTATGTCAGCTGGTGGTTATCCAGAATCTTATAAAAAAGGTGATGAAATTATAGTGGAGGAAAATTCAGATTCATTAGTTTTCCATGCTGGTACTACAAAGAAAGATGGTAAAATCTTAACAAATGGTGGTAGAGTTATTGCATCAACTGCTTCAGCTTCAAATTTAAAAGATGCCGTTGCTAAAGCTTATGCAGGTGTTGAAAAAATTAATTTCGAAGGTAAATATAATCGTAAAGATATTGCTCATAGAGCTTTTAGAGATGCTGATTCTAAAGCAAATGGTATTACATATGCAGCTGCAGGTGTTTCAGTTGATAATGGTAATTTATTAGTGGAAAATATTAAAAAAAATGTTAAATCCACTAAAAGACCAGGTGCTGATTCTGATATTGGTGGATTTGGTGGTATTTTTGATTTAAAAGCTGCTGGTTATAAAAACACTGATGATACATTATTAGTTGCTGCAACTGATGGTGTTGGTACAAAATTAAGAATTGCACAAATTTTAAATATTCATGATACTGTGGGGATTGATTTAGTTGCAATGAATGTTAATGATTTAGTTGTTCAAGGTGCTGAACCTTTAATCTTTTTAGATTATTTCGCAACTGGTAAATTAGATATTAAAGTTGCTGCTGATTTCGTTAAAGGTGTTGCTGATGGTTGTATTCAAGCTGGTTGTGCCTTAGTTGGTGGTGAAACTTCTGAAATGCCTGGTATGTATGAACCAGGTCATTATGATACAAATGGTACTGCTGTTGGTGCTGTATTGAAAAATAAAATCTTACCAGCTGTTGATCGTATGTCAAAAGGTAATGTTTTATTAGGTTTAAAATCTGATGGTGTTCATTCAAATGGGTTCTCATTAGTTCGTAAAATTATTGAAACTTATGGTTATTCTTATACCGATTCTGCTCCATGGAAACCTGAAAGTACAATTGGTAAAGAAGTATTAACACCAACAAGAATTTATGTTAAACAATTATTAAAACCAATTCAAAAAGATTTACTTTTAGGTCTTGCACATATTACAGGTGGTGGTTTAGTTGAAAATATTCCAAGAGCTTTACCATCTCATTTAAGTGCAAAAGTTGATTTAAAATCTTTCGAAATTCCAGAAATTTTCAAATGGTTTGGTAAAACTGCAAATGTTCCAATTAAAGATTTATTGAAAACTTTTAACTTGGGTATTGGTATGGTTGCCATTGTTGAAAAGGAAAATGTTGATCAAGTTAAATCTTTATTAGAAGAAGCTGGTGAAACTGTTTATCAAATTGGTGAATTAATTGAAAGAGGTGATGATGCTGGTACTATTGTTGAAAACTCTGAAGGTTTATATTAGAGACAGTAAATAACTATAGACGTGTATATTAAAATTATAATGAATTAGAAATGAAAAACAATCATTTATTATGTACAAGTAACTAATTATCAACTTCGAATATCTATTCTGGTTGAAATGGTTGTTCTTTCAAAGCACGAGTTATAACATTTTCAACATATTGATAAACAGTAAATGAAACACCACCACTTGTACCAACTTTTAATAATCTAAAAGTCCAACCAGACCAAAAAGTTTTAACACCTTCTTCAACAAAGATTCTATAAGCACAATTTAAAGCATTTGTATAAGTATAATAAGTTTCACGACTTTGCATACGAGTCTTTATAACATCAATTGGTTGAGTCACTGCAACAACTGCAACTGAACTTACAACACCAATTGAAAATGCTAAATAACTATTCAATTCTCCACCATGAGGTTGGAATATTTGACGTAATGAAGTATAAGTACCGAATCGTACACCACTATTTGTACATTGTCTAATTAATGTTGGAATTGAACCTTGTAAAAACCCTCTAATCCCTCTTGTTTGATAAATTTCAGACATTGCTGATAAGATATTTGATGATGGTAATTTATCCCATTTTTGTTTAGCTAAGATATATGGATGTAGTGTTGCCGATGCAGTTGTGGCAGGGTTATGGAATGTCTTTTTGGGTATACTTGTTTGTTTTATTGGTGATTTTATAGTAGGTTTTTGTTGTTGTGAAGGTTTTGAATCTGATTTAATAGATTTTGAATTTTGTTTTTCATTATTATTATTAACTTTCCCATTTTTTTTCAATTTTTCATTTGCTTCATATTCTTTAACTTGAATTTTGGAATAATGTAAAGAATTTTCAATCATTGTAGTTTTTAAATTTTCAAATGGGATAATCCATAAAGATTCAATAAAACCAGTCATTGCACCAGCAACAACTAATCTTGGAGCAGAAGTTTTACCATTTTCTGTACTCATAAATTTTGAAGCACTATTGAAAATCATAAATCTTGAACCTGATTTTAAAGCATTACCAATATTTAAAGCACCACATCCACTAAAATAAAATTTAAATTGATGAAACAATTCAGCTTGTTTAGCACCTGGTAAATTTCTATGTAATTGTGTAACAACTTTCAAATATTCAAAAGGATAAGTAGCCGTAGTTTGAGCCACGGAAGCAGCAGTACCAGCAATGATAGCAGTTAATAAATTTGGTTCAACAACCTTGGTATATCAGTTAGAATTTGTATGGGATAATATAACATTATAGCAAAAGATTTATACTCACTAAATCACGACTTAGTTTACCATGCGAAGAGCTTCTTTTTGAAGGTGGGATAGCTGGTGACTCAGACATGATGTTATGTCACTAAAATTCCCTTTGAATTATTCAAAGAACCAAAGTAAATCGGGTTATTATCAAATAAATCCTTCTTTCTTTGTTGAATTCATAGTTAAATAATTTGAACTTTCTATACCATATAAATGAGTTTCGAGGGTAGAAAACACGTGAATTTACTTCAAAGTTCCGACCATCAGGGTAAATTACAGCTTTTAAGTCTCAGATCTGGGGGACTAGCTATCTGGTATCGGAGACTAAAAAACATTTAGTGTAAATCTCTCGAAAGTTTGCAGTAAAAATTTGATCTAGAATATCTAAAAAGGGCGAGGTAACTTAAATCAGAAAGGGAAGAAATTAGAATTCTATAGCACAGATATTGAACTTCTCATTGTTTCTGATCTCAAGAGTCAAGACTCTGATAACGTCCCAAGAAAAGGCACACTTTTGATTGATAATAAGACACGTCAAGGAAGAAAGCGATCTAAGACTTGATTTAAAGACACAAACTCCTTCAAATCAAAATTGACAGCATTTAAACCGATAAAACAGATCAAACTTTAGTCAACTATTCTGAAAACCAGTATAAGACACCTTTTGCCATTTTAACACCAACTGGAAGATCTTCATCTGGTGGGTTTTTCCATATGTTAATTTCCGTTGAATCAGTGATTTTAGGTCGTACCAAATTCTGAAATATGCGGTACCTGAATGCACTTATTGATCGATAGATTGTAAATTCTGAGACTATATCTGTACTTCTGGACACCACTTAATACAAATCTATAGTAAACTCCACACACCACCAACGTCCTAGTCTTCAAGACCTGAAACGCGTCAATTTTTTTCTTTTATTTTTTGTTTTTGACCACGATTTTTTTTTTTTATTTAAAATTAAACATTTCGTTGATTTTTTATATATCAACTAAATTTGAATCTTTTTTGACTTTGAACAAGATTTTGATTTGATCACCAAGTTTACTGAATCAGAAATGTCACAACCTCCACAAGCTCAAGGTGGGTTAGCCTCCATCGTCAACAATGGTCCAGTCTCCATCTTTGCCTACTGTGCTTCTTCAATTTTGATGACTGTTACAAATAAATATGTTGTTAATGGGTTCCAATTCAATATGAATTTTGTTTTATTATTAGTCCAATCTGTTGTTTGTGTTGCTGCTATCGCTACTTTGAAAGCTTTCGGTGTTATTACTTATAGACCTTTGAACAAAACTGATGCTAAAAACTGGGCTCCAATCTCTGTTTTATTAGTTGTTATGATTTATACTTCTTCAAAAGCTTTACAATTCTTAAGTATCCCAGTTTATACCATTTTCAAAAATTTAACCATTATCTTAATTGCTTATGGTGAAGTTTTATTCTTTGGTGGTGAAGTTACCTCTATGGCTTTAGGTTCTTTCTTATTAATGGTTTTATCATCAGTTATTGCATGTTTAGGTGATCAAAAAGATTCTGAAGCTTTCGGTTTAAGTGTTGGTTACTTCTGGATGGCTTTGAACTGTTTCTCATCAGCTGCATTTGTTTTAGTCATGAGAAAGAGAATTAAATTAACTAACTTCAAAGATTTTGATACCATGTACTATAACAATGTTTTATCAATTCCAATCTTATTAGTTTCTTCATTCATCTTGGAAGATTGGTCACCAGAAAACTTAAATGCTAACTTCAGTCAACCATCAGTTATTGCAATGGTTGTTTCAGGTTTAGCTTCTGTTGGTATTTCTTATTGTTCAGGTTGGTGTGTCAGAGTTACTTCATCAACTACTTACTCAATGGTTGGTGCTTTAAACAAATTACCAATCGCCTTATCAGGTTTAGTTTTCTTTGATGCTGCAGTTAACTTCTTATCAGTCAGTTCAATCTTTATTGGTTTCTTAGCTGGTATTGTTTATGCTGTTGCTAAACAACAAAAAAAATAATCTAATTAAATGTTAGGTTAAACAATTGAGATTAAAATAATTGAATTTGGAATTGAGTTCCTTTTCAATTGTTTTTGTTTTCAAAAATAAAAATTTCATGTGTGATTATAGAGATTCAATTCAAATTACAAAACTTTAGATCATTTATCATTATTCAAATCATAATAAATATATACAAGAAAGTGGAATATAGTTGTATTTTATAATAAATATACTATCTAAAATTGAATAAATAAGTTGTAGATTTATTTTCTATCAAGTTGTTGTAAAGGTATTTGAATTTCAGTGACATGTTCTTCTTCATCAGGTAATTTATGATATTCATCATCAATATGATTCTTATACCAAAAAATTGAAATTGAAGAGCCAAGAATTATTAAGATACCCAACCAACTCCAAATATTTGGTAAATGATTCCAAATCAACACCTCCCAAATGATTCCAAATACAATTTGAATATAGGTCATTGAAGCAGCTCTGGAAGCTTTTTCAAGTTGAAGTCCAGTCGTAAAGAGATATTGCATGAAAAATCCTGTTACTGCAATCAATATTAACAAAAAATATTGTTTTAAAGTATGAGGCCATTGAAAACTTAATGATGGTGATATCAAAATTGTCAAGAAACTTAAAACCACAGTCACAGATGCATAATATGACACAGTGACTACTGGGTTAACTCGATCACCAATGAATCTAATTATTGTAAAAGTCATAGCATAGCAAATAACACCAACTAATGAAAACATGACTGCAAATAAACGATCACTTGGATCACTTGTTTCAACATTATTATCTGTGTGATTGTTACCAAAGAGGAATGTAGGTTTTGCAATTAACAAAACACCAATTAATGACACAAGTCCACCAATACCTTCAAATTTGGAGAATTTTTCCCTCAAAACGATATAAGCCATTATTGAAGTACATGTTGGTGCTAAGAAACTCAAACTTATAACATCAGAAACTGCAAGATAAACCAATGGAATATAGATACCCAAGACACCAAAATATCCAGATATACCTCTTGCGATTAAGATGAATCTAATCTTACCAGGAGGACCCCATGGTGAATCTTCAACATGTTTGAAATACATATAGATCAAACATCCGATATAAGTTCCCAGCATCCTAACAAATAAAATTTGAGTTGGACTTATTGGCTCTTCAAAGTCTGTATCTTGTTCTAATAATTTTGTAGCAACTAGCATCCATGATGTACATAATTCACCAAGAATTATACAATAAAGACCATAATTCTTATTAAAATGTTTTTGTACTTGTGAACCTTGATAATAGGTTTGTATAAAACTAAGATTCTCTGATTCTTGGCTTGACATTACTGCTGTTTATCTCTTAACTATTGCAGTGTGTTATAGTTATCTCTATCCAAAATAGCTATATGATAACTTGGCTCAACATATATAGTAGCTCTGAGTAAAATTGTTGAACGTTTGTTGACTCATTATTTCAATTATCCAATGTATTACATAACAACTTACAAGGTAGGACTAGCTCGTTATCATTAAAGTTTTAAAGCCAATAAGGCAATTTACCAAATCTCGGTTCTATAACCTAATCGGGTAAGGAATAATCATAATTCTTGCAATTTGTTACTAATGAACTAGTGATATATGTATTAAGATCTAAGAACCTGTGAATACTAATTATAAAGCACAGAATCAATCTTAAACTGACATGACTAGTTGGAAGCCCAATCGAAGATGGTACAGATCATGATCCGTTATATATTTTCAACTGAAGTTAGCTGACAATAGATCAGTAACTATACAGGCGCGTAATACAACACGTAATTATAACGGCTTAAGCCAAATGTTCATAATATAACTATATGATCTGCCAAGTGGTTCATTGACTCATTGATTGTCTCTCTTACAAACGTATTGCGATAAAGGAAGATAGATATACAGATTATTTATAATTCCACCAATGCTGAGTTTGAATATGATTAGATAAAATCTTTGAAATGGCTTCAACTTCTACTTCTTCATAGTTTAGCGTGCATTAAGCTTTGTTGATTTTTAACCAAGCAGGTTATACCTCATACTATGTCTTAGTTGGCCCTTGATCATTAGAGTCATTGTCTGGTAATAAGTTATTTTGGCAACATAAGTCATAAACAGAGTAAAAATTTCGGTGAAATGATAATTTTGGATTAGTAAAATTAGTTGTTTGGAAGATAAAAGAACTGTTTTGAATAATACTTTCAGCTTCTGATATTTTATCTTGTGTCTTAGTCTGGGTCTCATTTCCATCTGTATCTGTAGTTTCATTGGGATTGAAATGGTAAATAAAGTTGCGGTGAGGGTCTGTTGACTCAATATTAACAAATGATGATTTTTGCTTTTGAACAACTTTGAAACATGATCTAAAGCAATCAATCTTCACATCTTTCAACGAATTGGAATAAAACATTAATAATATCTTGAGCTGCTGCAATGTTAGTGCATTTGACATTTGATTCATATTCAAGAGAAACAATGGAATTCTTTCTCTATTGACTTTTGCTATTTCATCATCAATCTGAGCATCAGATTTTGGAACGCCAAATTTATTCAAGTGATCCAACACTTGGGTAAAATCAAGTTGTTCTTGAATATAAATTTCAACAGTTGAATCTCTCGACTCAAGAAATGATTTGATATCTGCAATGCCTTGTTTTTCTATCGACAGAGTTGGATAATCTTTTATCATCAATTTTAATGTAATTCTTTTATACCCAACATTTTGAGGTTCAATTATATCAAAAACTTCATCCTTCTTGAACGCAAGAGAGGTTCTGGGATCAAATGTAAAAGCTTTGAAAATATCTGACTGAATATTGTGCAAAAAATGGGCTCCGGGGCATTGAGATTCAGAAGAAACCAAACACACAGTACCAATCAATTCATCATATGTTAAATTACCAAGTCTTTCACGACCTTTCTGAATTGACTTCTCCAAGTTTTGTACCCTTTCTCGTTCTCGATCTGGTATAGAATCTTTTGGGGCTATTGTCATCAGGAAGCTTTTGTGAGTCTTGAAGCTTATGAGTTGTTATTGATTCAAGTATTTCGTTACTTATCAATATATTCTTTTTTGGAAGTCGGTAAGCACACTACAAAGTCTGTCACATATACGTGTCATTAGCTAATATCACCAACTCAATTAGACTCACCCAATTTCCAAATGAGCCGTTAAAATTTTAAGGGTCTGTGCTAAAATGGTTGATGCTTCTAATAAAGTGACAATTAAATTACCTTATCATACATACTTTGCTGTCATTTATGCTACAGCCAGCTTTATATCAACGTTAAACCAGCGTTTGTTGGTTTGACGTGGCTGATATCATGAGTACATCTTGCCTGGTCTTCGCTGGTATAATCAACAAATAAAATAATCTAATATTTATTAAAATATGTTAGATTGTAAATACAAATTAGCAATAGAATCAGAGAGTGAAAGTTTTGAAAATGAGTTGTTCCTTTTTTAGCGTTAGCTAATTCATTTCAAGGAGAAACATTTTCTTTTGGTGTGATTATTGATCACGTCTCAAAATACAAAACTTCAGATCGCTTAATAATAATGTTTTAAACCGTATATTGGTTTACTATATACATAGAGGGGCAGTATAATTATATATTAAATAAGTTGTGAACCTACTTTGGGTCAAGTTCATGTAATGGGATATTTTGAATTCGAGTAACATTTTCTTCTTGATCCGGGACTTGGATCTCAGTGACATGTTCTTCTTCATCTGGTATCTTATGAAATTCATCATCAATGTGATTCTTATACCAAAAAATTGAAATTGAACAACCAAGAATTATGGAAATACCTAACCAACTCCAAGAATTAGGTAAATGATTCCAAATCAAAACTTCCCAAATGATCCCAAAAACAATTTGAATATATGACATTGATGCAGCTCTTGAAGCTGTTTCAAGTTGAAGTCCAGTTGTGAAGAGATATTGCATAATAAATCCAGTCACTGCAATCAATAATAACAATGACCATTGGTTGAACGTATGAGGCCACTGGAAGCTTAATGATGGTGATATCAATATTGTTAAAAAAGTTAAAACCACAGTTACCAATGCATAATAAGAAATTGTTATTACCGGATTAACTCGATCACCAATGAATCTAATAATTGTAAAACTAATAGCAAAGCAAATCACACCAAGTAGTGAAAACATGACTGCAAATAGTCGATCATTTGGATCACTAGTTTCAACATTATTATCTGTCTGACTTTCTCCAAAAATGAATGTAGGTTTTGCAATTAGCACAACACCTATCAATGATACAAGCCCACCAATACCTTCAAACTTGGAGAACCTTTCCTTTAAAACGATATAAGCCATTATTGAGGTACATATTGGTCCTAAAAAACTTAGACTTATAACATCAGAAACGGCAAGATAGACCAAAGGAATATATATTCCTAAAATACTAAAATTTCCAGATATACCTCTTGCAACCAAAATCAGTCTAATCCTACCTGGAGGACCCCATGGTGAATCTTCAACATGTTTGAAATACATATAGATTAAACATCCGATATAAGTCCCCAACATTCTAACAAATAAAATTTGAGTTGGACTTATTGGCTCTTTGAAATCTGTATCTTGTTCTAATAATTTTGTAGCAACTAACATCCATGATGCACATAGTTCACCAAGAATTATACAATAAAGACCATAGTTCTTACTGAAATGCTTTTCTAACCGTGAACCTTGATAATAGGTTTGTATAAATGTGAGATTTCCTAGCTGTTGTCTTGACATGATTTTGCAAAATTGCTTTGATATTACAACGTCCGTTATTTTTAACCAATATAGATAGTATGAGATATGCTAGTACAACATCAAGGTTTGAGAACATACAAAGTATTCAATGATTCAGTGATTCAACCATGATCTGAATTTTATTCACCGTTGACCGGTACTAGTTCAAATTGACCAATATATTACATAACAATGTCTTGAGCAAATTATTTACAGTATGGCAGCTACAGACTACAATATAGTATTAATATATAACGTATGTGATACTTTGATATTATCAAATTAAGGGCAGTTCCAATTGGGTAAGATCCAAAGCTATTTTATCATTTTTGTCTCTGATATATTTGATAGGTGTATATTAATATCTCAGAATCCAATAGCTACAACGGAGTATTACGAACCTTCTGAAATAAACAGACAACAATATATCCATTGATAGACGGTAGACACTTCAAGTTGTATACTTTTAAAATTTGCAGTATCTTAACATGAAATACTAGAAGCTCCAAGAACAATAGACAATAGAGTATCAATGCATCACTTGATACCGGAAACGAAATATTGACATGATTTGAAAACAAAGTTCATTCATGATGCCCTGATTGTTTCTCCGAATGCAACTAAATAATCCTATAAATATGAAGAAAAATGTTTATATAAATTATTTATAGTGCCATGGCCCATCAACCCTGTCTTTGAATCTAATTGGTGAAGAATGCTGTAAAGATTATATCTTCCAAGCATTGATCACTTGACTTTGATTTGTATCTACTGAACATTGATGAACACATTTGAATTGATGATTAGGTCCGATTAGGCACTTGATCATTAGGGTCTTTAGTTGGTAATGAGTTATTTGAGCAGCTTAGATCATAAACAGAGTAAATATCACGAGTGCTTGCAAACATTCTTGGATATTCCAGATTAGTGTTTTGGAAGATGAAGTCATTATTCTCGATTATTTCAGCTGCTGATAATTTATCTTGTTCTCTATTCTCATTATTTTTGTCATCTGCATCATTGGTTTTATCAGGCGTGAAAAAGTAAATAGAATTGTGGTCAGGGTTTTCTGATCCAATATAATTAATAAACTTTGATTGTTGCTTTTGAACAGCTTTAAAACATAACCTAAAGTGATCAATTTTCACATCTTTTAATGAGTTGGAATAAAACTTTAATAATGTTATTGGGTTTTCCAAAGAGAACCAGATCGATCGAAGCCATTCATATCTTAGGAAAAACAATGGGAGTCTCTGTCTATTGACCTTTGCTATTTCTTCACCAATTTGAGCATCAGATTCTGGTGCACCAAATTTATTCAAGTAATCCAACACTTGGGAAATATCGAGTTGTTCTTTGATATAAATTTCAACTATTGAATCACTCGACTTGAGAAATGACCTTATATCTTCAACGTCTTGTTTATTCTTCAGAGTTGGATAATCTTTTACCTTCAATTTCAGAGTAATTCTTTTATACCCAACGTTTTTAGGTTCAATTATATCGAATACTTCATCCTTTTTAAAATCAAATGATGTTCTAGGATCAAACGTAGCAGCTTTGAAAATGCTGCTTTGAATACTGTAAAGAAAACCACCGAATTCGGACTTCTTTTCACAATCAACCAAACAAACAGTACCAACTAATTCATCATTTGTTAAACTACAAAGTTTTTCACGACCTTTCTGAATTGACTTTTCCATTAAGAGCTGCACCCTTTCTCTTTCTTGGTTTGATACACTACCTTTTGGTGCTATAGTCATGTTGAAGACTCGTGACTCTTGTAAAATAATTACAACTTTCTCGGACTGAAAATATATCTCGATATATATATATATGGTTTTTATTTGAACTTCTTTTACAAAATTATATACTATATACGGGTACTTGAGAAAACAAGACGGTAAGCGCACTATTAAAATCTGTCACATATACGTGTCATTAATTAGTATGACAATATTTCAATTAAATATTCATCAATTTTCCATCATTATCAAATGAACCATTGAAATTTTGGCGTGGTTTCTTAAATTCACCGCTAAATAGATGCTCTGTTCCCCAATCGTTATTCCCGTACGTACATATATAACAGAAGCCAAATATTATATAACAATATGAACTCTTAACAGTTTCATTGAGATATTGATAGTTTTTTTTTAAACCTCCCTTTATTTAACGAAGATTAAAGATGTATATACAAATTATTATATAATATCACCAGTGAAAACTTTACCTATAATTGATAGGAATCTCTTTAATAGTCACATCATTCAGTTATTGACAACTTGACTTTTAGTTAGCTCATTTGAATGTTGATCAACCAAGTGGTACACTCGGACTAGGTCTGATTGGGCACTTGATTATTAGGGTCATTAGTTGGTAATGAATTATTTGAGCAGCTTAGATCATAAACAGAGTGATAATATCGGTAAAATGATACTTTTGGATTAGTAAGATGAACTTGTTGAAAGATAGAAGGTCTATTCTGGATCATATTTTCAGCTGCTGATATTTTATCATGTTCCTTAGTCGACTGAGTCTCAATTGCATCTGAACTCTTGGTCTTTTTGGGAATGAAACAGTAAGTGGAGTTCCGATCAGAGTTCTTCGACTCATTATAATTAACAAACACTGATTTTTGCTTTTGAACAACTTTAAAGCATAATATGAAGTGATCAATCTTCATATTCTTTATCGAATTTGAATAGAACATTAATAATTGCATTAACATCTCTAATTTAAGTGCATTTGATATATCATACATACTTAAGATGAACAACGGAACTCTTTGTCTATTGACTTTTGCTATTTTATCATCAATTTGAGCATCAGACTTTGGGACGCCAAATTCATTGAAGTAATCCAACACTTGGGAAATATCAAGTTCTTCTTTAATATGAAATTTAACACATAAATCTTTTGACTCGAGAAACGATTTAATATTTTCCACATCTTCTTTATTTTTCAGAGTTGGATAATCTTTTATCTTCAATTTTAACGTAATTCTTTTATACCCAACATTTCGAGGTTCAATTATATCAAACACTTCATCTTTTTTGAAGCTAAATGAAGTTCTGGGATCGAATGTAGCAGCATTGAAAATTGCATTTTGAATATTGTGAAGAAAATACCCACCCTTGAACTTGGGTTCACAATTAACCAAACAAACAGTACCAACTAATTCATCATCTGTTAAAAGACCAAGTTTTTCACGACCTTTTTGTATTGACTTTTCCAAGTTCTGTACCCTTTCTCTTTCTTGATTTGGTATAGGGTCTTTCGGTGCTATAGCCATATTGAACTATTGCTTTCTTTGATTGTACGACATTTATGGTTAGTATTTTTATTTCAAGTTCTTCTACAAAAAGTATACGCGTACTAAATCGGTAAGCGCACTTCTTCTGAATCTGTCAGCATATCGTGTCAATAATTTGTATCACCAATATACGTTTCCTCGAATTTTATAGATCGTATAAACATTGAACCATGAACATTTTGATAAAGAAATAAATCACAACCTATTACAAATCAAACCACACAAGTCATGTCCGATATAGATCTATTAAACACAACATCACAATCACTATTCAAAACATTCCCTATAACACAAATTCAACAAATATCAACAAATTTAAATCAATTATCAAATTTAAAACATGAAGAAATTAGAAATTTAGTTGGATCAAAATATAGAGATTTATTAATAAGTGCAGATGAAATAACTATAATGGAGAAATTAAGTCATGAACAAGATTCTAAATTGTATGATTTAATATTTGGGAAATTTAAAATTGGTATTGATGATAAAATTTCAAAATTTATGAATAATAAAAATGATGATTTTGAAATTGATCAACAAAATATTAATCAAATTAAATCAATTCAATCCAAGACAGACTTTACTATTAAATTGAGTAAATTTTTGAAAATCAATTCAGATGATGAAATTGAAGAAATTTTCATGAAAATTAATGAAATTGGTAATGAATGGGGTGATAAATCAAATTTAGTATTGGAAAAATTTAAAGAAATTGAAATTATTTTCGAAACCAAAATTAATGAAATAAATGATATTAATGAGCTATTGAAACTAGAGCTATTTTGGAATAAAAGAAATGAATTTAATATTTCAAGTTTAGAACAATTATTATATAATCATTTAAAATCAAATTTAATAAAATTTGATAATTTAAAAGAAATATTAGAAAAATTCCCCAAGTTTATTGATAATTTAAATAATGATTATCAAAGAAAATTACAAATTTTGATCAAAAATGTTCAAAATTTAATTAATGAATTGAAACCAAATCCTAAAAATGAATTAAAATTATATGATTTAAAATTTGATGATGATGATTATTTATTAAAGATTGAATTCCTAAGTAAAGGATTAATTTTTAAAGAATATCAAGATATAAATAATGGATTACAGAGTATAAAAGACTTATTAAATTTCATAAAAATCATAAATAATGATTCATTTTTGAAAATTTCAAATGATTATAATGATTTATTAAAATCATTTCAAAAACATGCTCAGGAAACAAATAATTCATTACTACTAAAACATTTAAAATAAAGTCATAACGTGTCATTAATAAATAAGGGGGGATTAATATAAAGGAGTATCAAACTCTTTATATAAATCAATAAATAAGTTGTATATGTATGTCTCTGTAATGAAATATCTCTAACGTCAAAAGGATTTTTTATTCCTTTTCATATAATAAATCAAAAATATCATCTTTAAAAACCGCTTCAGCTTGTTGAGTAGAATCAGCTTGAGTTTTCAAACCTTCATATAAATGGAAAAACATAAAATTAACATCTTTATTTTGATTATCCATTTGATTAATAGATCTTGATGCGGATTTAGATCTAGACATTAATTCATGCTTGTTTAGATAACTATTCATAAATCTAAACTGTTCTTTATGATCTAATTCAAACCAAGTCTTGTATTTGGAGTTGAAGTTATAATTTGAGTATTCTTGCATGTATTGGTAATGTTCAGATAGGGCAGAATCATTTGATGATCTTATGGAGAAGGATAAATTCCCCAGAGTTTTAGACACTTGAATATGAGCCGGTCTATTCAAGGTCTTTAAAGTGTTTAATAGTGAATGTTGTAGCATGATAATAATGAGTTCAGTATACTTACAAGAAAGAAAAGCAAAACAAGAAGAATTCAAAATGAAAACAAGATTTCACCTCTTTATATATTAAAATTCTAAATTCAACACAGCGCTTAATTTCTCCAACTTTGTGAGGGGAGTCTAAAATATCCATTTCGGGAAGGTGCTCCGTAACCATTTTATCAGCTCACAAAAGTCAAAATCAGTTCATTGAAAGGTCTAGAATTGATACTACCAACCCATAAAGTATAAGGAATATTAGATCTACTATTATAATTAACATCTGATTATTTTGTTATTCTTATTCCTATTTCTTATACAACAATGTGAAAAACTCTTCATCAAATTCTGGTGTGACTTCATTATTAACACTTTTTTCAATCAAATCATTATATAATAATCCGAAAACACTTGGAATATCATCATAAACATCCATATCACTAGCTAATTGTTTATAATAGTTTTTTGTCTTCTTGTTTTTAGCTCTATATTGTTCAACAAATTCAGTTATAAATTTACGTTTATCATCATCTTTTAATTCTTTCCATTTAAAATAATCTTCCACTTTAGTTGAATAACAACGTAGTATAGAAGAACCTTGATATCTTGAATATGAAGTTATAGAGAATTGTGGTTTAATTGTATTGGTTAATTTTAAAGCAGATCTGAACATTATGAATTGTATGAATTGTATTTGAATATGTGGTATGTCTTTTAATTAATATAAGTATCAATTGAATATTGTTGTTTGTTATACACATTCTCTTTTAAAGTGTTTTCAATTGCTTAATATTTCCCACGATCCCACGAATCCCACTCGAATTTCGCACAACAATCAGCCATCGCTTATGTAATGGATAGGTAATATAAATATATAGATAGTAAAGCTCTGTTAAAGCATTATATCGTTAGAAGATAATAATTGTGATCAATTGTTCGAGTTCATTACATTAAAGTGTGTATGATCTTTAAATCAAATAAATTAATGTACCTTCTTCACTGTTAATTGATTCAAAATTATCAGTTCATTTTTCGGTAAATCATTAAATTTATTTTAAACATGACGTAATTTTCATATTAGATATATATCTCAATGCTTATGTAATTCATTGGGTAATACAAGTATATAAACTAAAATTAGTTATGTTGTATATTAAACATCTGATAATTCTGATGATGATTCTGATTCTATTGATAAATCTGAAGATGATCCACTCCCAACATATATCGGTTCTTCAAGACTTGAATCATTTCCTTGAATTAAATTTGATACATTATTCATTGATTTACCTTGTTCAACTGGATCTAAATTATATATTGTATAAATTTTTTTATTTGAATGTCGTTTAGATTTTATGGAAATAGATTGATTATAAATATATGAATATGATTTTTATAATTCTTCATTTAGTTTATTGATGGTTGTGGCTCCTGGTTCATTTGGTTCAAAGAAATAAACTATATTCCTTTGTGGATTTGAATCATTAATTTTAAATAAATTTGATTTTAATTTTTGATTAATTTTACAAGCCAATTTAAAATAATCATTTGATTGGATTTTTAAGCTTTCTGAATAAAATCTTAATAATTTAATCATATTTGGTAAATTTGATTTATGACTTGTACTAATTAAAAAATTTGGTATATCATCTCTCGTTTTTTGCATTGTTTTTTTATTTAATTCATAATCTGAATATGGTATACCAAATTTATTTAAATAATTGAAAAAATCTGATATTTGTAAATTATCTTTCATATATATTTGAATAATTTCAATTTGTTCAGATGATTTAAGATATAATCTAATATCTTCAAGATCTTGTTTATTTCCCAATGTTGGATAATCCTTAATCTTCATTTGTAATGAAATTCTTTTAAATCCAATATTCCCACCATCATTAACTATATCAAATACTTCATCTTTTTTAAAATCAATTGAAGTTCTTGGATCGAAAACTGTAGCAAGAAATTTATATGATTGACAACTTTTAATTATATGACCTTTAATATTTTTATCAACATAGGGTACTAAACAAACAGTTCCATATAATTCAATTTCATTTAGATTTTTCAGCTTTGAAAATCCATTCCGTATTGATTGATTTCGTTTAGTGATCCTAACATGATCTGATGATTGATCTATTGTCATTTTTTTTTCACATCAACATGATCAAAGTGTAACTCTCTTTATATACCCATTCGAAACCATGGTACCATTACCAGCGCGTCGGATATTTGAAAAATTCGAGATACCTAAACAATGGTAGGGGACACCAAAGTCAGAGCTCAAAGTACTTACTTATACATAATTGATTCAACAACTAACGAGTTGAATACTTACAAATAATTAGCTTTTTGAATAATAACACAATCTATTAAAAGGGGAAATAATCTATCAAAAATATTGTTTTGTTGGATCTAAGAAAAAATGCTGTTCTTCTGCAAATCTTTTCAAAATTTGTGCATGTAATTCTTTATCTTCTTCTGTATATATAGGAAATTCACGACCTGATCCAAGTTTAACACCACCTGCAAGTTCAATAACTTTTAAAGGCCATTCAAATTTATCATCTGCAAATGAATGATATTGTTGATGGTTACCTAATGCATGATATCTAGCTAAAATCCATTTGATTTGTTCTTCTAACGATGGAAGTTTAATCTTACCAGAAAGAAATCTTGCAACCCATATAGCTTGATATTCAAATACTCTAAATGTAATGGCTTGGATTGGAATCCCCACTAATGAAATCAATGGATCTTTTGCATAAAAAGTATGTTCATAAAAATCTGGAAGTATATTCCCAGTAGTGAAACCTGGATATGATTTGTTCATGAATGGGAAAGATAAATGATAACCAGTACCGTATATAAATCTATCAACATTTTCCACAATAGTACCATCTTCAAAATGTACAGTGATTTTATCATTATCATGGATCTCAACTTTCTTGATTATTGGTTTTTCAATGATATTTTCAAATCCATCACTTCTTTGTTTAACTTCTGGTATAACCTTCTTGGAATGATATATTGTTTTACTTGTTTTAGCTAATGATGTTGCAATATCAAAACCTGAGATTCTACCACCAACAACAACTACTGTTTCATTATCAAACGTATGAACCCTAGGTTTGAAATACTTGGAGTGTATAATTTTTTCTGGACTTTTAGCAAACACTTTTTCCAAACCTGGGACTTTGGGTATTATTGGGATATGATAATGACCTGTAGCTATAACCACAGCATCAAATTCTTCTTCATACCATTCATCTAGATAATTTCCTACATCGTCCTTTTCATCAGTTTCTCTTCTCAATGTGAGTACAAACTTTGCATTTGGATTTGCATAATCTTTTGAAACATTTTCCACACTAGTTCTCAATATAATATGATCCTTTGGATGACGATCATAATAGTTTTGAATATATTGTCTTACCGATTCTATAAAGACATAATTTTTTTCAATTCTGTGTTTAGCATCAACTCCCCAATCTTTCACATCTGAAAAGCACATCAACTGCTCTGGAACATTGGTTCTTAACCCTTTATAACCTGCACTCTCTGTAAATCTGATTTGTTCTGATCTTTTGGACTTGTGAGTTTTTTTATCTCCAATTTCTGGGATATCTAATTGTGGATCTAATTGGTCTATAGTTGAGCCAGGTGCAACCGGTACCACATATTTACCTTCTTCTTTATTCTTTGATAGTGACCAGACACCTCCTAGCTCTGAGCTTCTTTCAAATACCTTGATCTTCTCAAATCCACCTTCTCTCACAAGAGCATCAAGTGTAATTGCACCACTTGGACCACCACCAATAATAGCCACGCTCTTCACTTTCCCAGCAGAAACACCGTTGATAAAGTCTTGAACAGTCATATCCTTTATTGATATTCTGCACTTAATAGTGTGAAAATAACAGCTTGACAGCTAGAATTCGATGATTTATATTCATAACTTTCATAACTCCATCCTTTGATACTGTGGCTTCTCGGCTCACATCATCGGATAATTACAATGGAATCCAACAAAAAACGGTTCAATCCAAAATACTTTAGCCCTAGAGAGATCTTTTTGGTTGATCGGTTAGTTTCAACTTTCAGCATATTTCTGGGTAGTATATAGCTATTGGTATCTCACTTAATATCGTCTTCAGTACACCATCTTTGATAGAAATACATTACTTGTTGCGTCGTTAATTGGATAGCGTAATTGGCATCTAAAAAAAAAAAGTAGTGTAAAGCTATCTCTATATTCTGTGCTACACTACCTTAAGGACTGCATTGTATCTAGGGGAATGCTGCTATACATCAGCGTCGACTTTAGTAATTTCTGTGTTTTGATAGATGATTTTCAGCATTTGATACATCAACGACATTATTTGTATGGTTCCAATCATATGTTCTCTTTATATTATTAACTTTGAAATTTCTTGAGCACTCAAGCTAGACATACAATTCCACCATTTACGCAACCTGAGTTTAACTTGATCTATACCGTACCTATATTATTATTATTCAGCTCTGTTTAAATTAAAAATAAAACCAATAGCTCTTGGTCACCGAGATTTCAAACTCGGCGCTTATATCCGAAATTGAATTTATTTAAAATCGATATCTCACTCTATATATTACATTGAAGCTAAGGAGTAATGACAGAATAAGCAAAGAAGCTTTCAATTTTGATTCTGAAAGGTTCAAAATGACCAATAATTGAGTTTGAAATTTTTCAAAATTTCAAATTATTCAATTTTGAAACTGGATGTCAAGATGCTGCGTTGCCTTTTTTGGAAAAATCAAAATTTGCAAATTTTCACAAGCTTAAAAACTTGCCATTTCTGTTTATAAATACATGTTACAAAGAGATTTATGAAGATAATGATGTATTTTAGCTGACATTATTACAAATTTCATCCGGCTTTTCTGATTTTTTTTTAGTTATGAGTAATTTCCGGCCCGCGGCTAGAAGTACAAATATTTATTCAAGAAAAAATATTTAATACAATATATTGCTTCAGTATATTCAAGTATATGTAAAGATAGTTGATGTAATAACAGAGGCTTTAATCATCTTAGCATATCCTTTATTCATATCATAATTAGGAATTAAGAACTAAGAATCTATACAGTATTTTGAATGCTATTAGCACACTACGAAAATAGAAATTGATTTTGCATAGATGGTCCAAATAATCCAGAGAAAATACAGGGTCTATAAAATTCAATTCATTTTAATCTTTATTATTTATCTTAATTGTGATAAGAGCAAATGATAAAGCTCCCACTTGAAACTTTATAAGTAACCAGAAAGCATCAGTTACCATACTCAAACAAAATAAAGTTCTGTTAATCATGTTCAGGTAAATATAGAAGTTAAACACCACCATTAAGAAACAACAAATGACAGGAACTTCTCAAATGAAAACTAAATTTAATAAGATAATATTTCAATTATCAAGACGCAAACTTGTAGGTTGTTTAAAAAAAGCACTTTTGAACCAGAGAAATATAATTGATTAGATAAACAATAGAGAGTGATAGCTCTATAAATTTTCACTTAATATGTCAAATATCTACCAAATGGGGAATTTGATACTCTACCAAACATAAGAGAACTGTAACCACCAGTTGGTATATCAGGATAATTCAACTTCGAAGCAACCCCTTTATCAAGATTACTGGATTGTAAAGCACCATTTGAAAGTTTGTCACCAAACCATTCATCACATGAATAACAATCATCACTATCATCTTGGTTAGAGCCTGGAGCTTTGTTATTGACATCTTGATTTCCACCTATTTTACCGGATAAAGTATAATAACGAAACAATCTCCCATATATTTCTGCAATAAAAGCTTCAGATTGATATTGTCTCGTTCTAAACTTCTCAACTTGTCTATCATCACCTTCAACAACATATTTGTGACTAGGTAGATTTGTTTTACCATCACCATAATCTTTATCCAATTTACGCATATAGATCAATGCATCCTTCTTTTTGGACATTTGTTTCTTAAACCAAAATTGTCCTAGACTGGCAGCTCGTCTTTGAAATGGTGTTAAATTCCAAATAGCTAGCTTCTTATCCTTATGCATCACGCAATCTGTAGTCTTTACTGGGAAAGAGAAATCTGTACCAAAATACTGTTTGAAACTAATGACAGCGTTGGTACTCATAGCGGGAGAGTCTGGGAAGAACTGATCTAAAACAACACGATCGTCACCAACCATCACAGCAATAGCCCTATGAGCGATATGAACATTTTGAAAAGCAACCATATACGTTTGACTAGTTTTGGTGATTGTGACAGCATCATTATGTTCACCCTTAGAAAACATTGTAAACCCCTGATAAAAATCACATAGCGCGCTGTACAAAACAACTTCAGCTTTGGTATGGAGTTCCTTTGGCCAAACAGTTGTCATCTTATGTTGTTTATTATTGAGAGGTATTTTCTGGTTTAATTGGTTGGATCTCAAGTGGTTGATAACTTTTCATAAAATTTCAGGAGATCTGGGGTTTATACTCTTTTTGTGAGAAAACCGGATTCACGCGAAATATTAGATATCAAAATATGAGATTTGAAGAACAAAGAAATTCAAGTGAAAAATCTTCCAAATGGACTTCTGGATCGAAGACCAAATAGCGGTGAGCTTGTTCCATTTAATTGTATTTCTGGATATTCGACTGGTAATTGAACTTTAAGGGGTTTAAAATTGGATATATGAACCACATTTGCATATTCTTGATCTTTAAGTTCATATTCTTCATTTTTAAATTCTGAATCTGATTTTGAACACTCTTCAGGAAAGAGATTCTTCATAAAAGTTTGTTTCTTGTTTTTCAATCTCAATTCCATTTTCAATGCATTCAAGATATATTCCCTATTTTTTGATTTCTTAACATCTTCTGGTCTACCCCAATCATTACGTTCACCCTTACCCAAAATATCTAAATTAGGACCAACATCACGACGATTAATTTCTGTATTAAAGAATTTAGCAAAGGCATATGAATTATATTGTAAAGGTGTAGCTGAATGCAATTTTTCCTTTATAACAATTTGATCAGATTTGATAGGTAACGTGATGTTAGTGCCAAATGTTTCTCTAAAATCTATGACTATGGAAAAATTTATGAATTTACTCATATATTGGCTAATCAAAATTTTATTTTCATCTATTTGAATTGCACTTGTTTTCATAGAATCCCAGAATATAAGTGTAAAACTTTGACCATCTTCTCTTCTCTCAAAGTCGAAATCCCCATAGCAGGTGTCATTTAGCCCATCAACCAATTTACCGGCAACGCAAAAGACAGCAACCTCACATTTAGTATTCAAGTACTCTGGGAGCAGACTCATCATATAATTTTTCCTCAAGGCTATCAAAAGATTTGAATAAGTTGAATTTTAGTATTCTCTTTAGGTTTTTTTTGATGTGATTTTTTAAACTTTTCAAATTTCTCCATTGAGTAATATTTTATTTTTATACGCGAAAGCCGTTAAAGTTAGATTACTCGAGGCACCAAGGCGATTTATACGTTATCTTTAAAAAACAAATCTATCTAGTGTCTATTTTAGCTAGCTCTAGTGAAGGGGTTCTGGCTATTAAGTCCAATCAAAAATGAGCTTTGACCTCCGAAAGGAATACCAGGATATTCGACAGGCGTGTATGGATTATTTGTGGATTCAGGAATTGATACACTCTTATCATTTTTTTCTTCATCATCATCAGAATTGTAAGCTTCCTCTTGTTGTCGTAGAATCCCATTCTTTGCTGATTTTTTAAACCCATTGAAACAAGCCGTTGCTATGTATCTTTTCCTTTGTTCATCTTTAAATTGTTTTGGTGGAGCATAATTATCAGGAAAATGATCATGTTCATATATATGTTTCATCCCAGTTGCACCAGGCTCTGAGGAGTGAAATTTAGTATTGTAAAATGTAGTTCTCATTTTCAATAATGTGGTATCTTGGAAAGGCAAAACAGACATCGGATTAGCAATAGCATCTGAAAAACGTACTGGAAACTGAACATCACCAAAAACATCTTTAAATTCAAAAACATCTGAAAATTGAACATGAGGTTTGTAGTAACTGCTGAGTAAAATTTTATCATATCTATCATCGATCATAACAGCTTTAACAGACCCCATGTGTCCCGGGTGACCATAATAGATGGTGAAACTTTGTGAATCATAACTTAAACGCACATTTATCCCTTCATAATCAACGAGTGCACTACCACAAAGAGTGAAAGCAGCAAGTTCTAATTTAGTGTTAAGATAAAGTGGTGGACTTGGTGAAGGTATGGCTCTCATGCTGTTGTTGAATGTTTCTTAACACCATGGGTACTATTGATGGATTGGTTAAACCTTGTTTTTTAAAATTTGGGGGAATTGTAAATTTGACATATTTCCGGAAAAACAAAAAAGATACAAACATAAATCCGAGCTTTTAAAGCTTCTCAAAATTTAGTAGCATTTTAAGTTAACCTAACATGAAAGTCTTCCAAAAGGTGATTGTTTTTTGCTACCGAAAAACGGTGAACTTTCACCACCATATGGAATATCTGGGTAATGTATCTCAAATTTTCCTTTTGAAATAATGATATCTTCGAAATCACTTTCATCTTCTTCACTTTCATTATATTCAGTACCATTTTCGAATTTAGAGTAATGAACCTTCTTCAATTGAGTTCTGAGTGACTTTTTAACAATTGATTGAGTGAAAAATTCTTTGGTTTTAATACCTGGGATCTTTGAAGGAGGTCTATGGACGAAATCTTGAGGATACTTACCATACCCGTATTCATTATGAACATCATCCATACGTGTCATAATCTCATTTCTGAAAATCATTGATTTTTGTTGTAAAGGAGAATATGAACTAATATCAAGAACAAATATTGGTGTTACAGGAACAATTTCTTCAAAAGGCACAGGGAACGAAACATTACCAAAAGTTTTTTTGAAACTGATAACTGTATTATACTTTAAAAATTCTGACATGTAGACATCAACAATGTATCGATCACTATCAATTCTAATGGCTCTGTTTCTCTTTTTAATAGCATGGAATGTTATAGAGTGATGATTTTTATCAGATACTATATGCATTGGATTTGCTGGAATCAAACCATTCTTGACGTTGTTAATCATGGCACTGGCACAACTGAATGAGATGACTTCAGCTTTGGAGTCCAAGTAGTGAGGGAAATTCATTGTTACTGATCAATGTTTAATTGAGATAACCTTCAAATAATACAACGTGAACGACTCAGTTTTTAGAGAATTGTATCTTTCAATCAATTATAATGTTGGATCAGATCAGATCAGAACGCGTAAAGTTTTTCCCTTCAGCTGCCCTTACCGCTTAGTTCAGCCCTCAATACATTTGACGGCAGTCTGACACATTCAGGTAAACAGAACAAAAAGATAATCAAGAGTACAGCTAGTACAAGGGAGAAATGACTTTGGTGAGAAGCTAGTATTGTTGTGTGAACTATAATGAAAATCACTGAGAAGTCAAACTCGTCTCTTGATCTCGGTTAAACAATGAGGTATACTTGGTCCACTATTTCCCAAGAGGTGTGAAGTTCGAGTAGCCACAGTTATAAAGAATATAAAACCCACTCAATTTCCAATCAAACATCTATACTTATTAATTGAAGATTCCTATATATATCAATCACACTGATTTAATGACAGTTACAAATTCCAAGCCAAAGAAACACTTGATTCTGAGTGCTGCCACTACAGCTACAGCTAAGCATTGGCAAATCAAAGAAGATAATTCAAGAGAGCTATCAAGAGATATAAACTGGTTAATTGAGTTTGCACAACTTGCAGAAAAGGGAAAATTCAATAACATTTTCTTTGTTGATCATTTAAGTTGGTTTGATGTTTATAAAGGTGGATTTGAAACTGCTGCTTTAAATGGCGTCAATGCTACAAGAATCGATCCAACAATTGCAATTTCTGCATTAGCAGCACATACTAAGTCAATTGGGTTCATATCCACAATTAGTACTGTTAGTGAACATCCGTATCATTTTGCAAGAAGATTGGCCTCATTGGACCATTTAACAGGTGGTAGAGCCGGATGGAATATTGTTGGCTCTTATATCCCAAGTATTGGTAAGAACTTGTTGAATGGCGAACCATTCCCAGAACACGATGAAAGATATGTTAAAACAGAAGAGTTCTTAGATGTGGTCTATAAACTGTTATTAAGCTCTTGGAGAGATGATGCAGTAGTTTATGATAAAGAAAATGGAATCTTTGCAAATCCAGATGCTCTTAGAGAGATTAATCACGAGGGTAAATACTTCAAAGTGAAAGGTCCTGCAATAACTGAGCCATCAAGACAGAGATTTCCAATTATAGCACAAGCAGGAAATTCACCAAAAGGTGTGAACTTCGCAGCTGAGAATGCCGAGCTAGTTTATATTGGTATTGGTTCATTGCATAAAATACCAGAAATCAAACGTATTGCTAAAGAACGTTTCAATAGAGACCCAAACTCCATCAAGTTCATTACTCAATTAGCACCGTTCTTAGGTAAAACCACAGAAGAAGCACAAGAAAAATACAGAATATTCAAAGAACATGAAGTTTTGGAAAGTAGTTTAGTCTACTATGGTGGTGTTTCAGGCCATGATGTTGGATCTTATGATTGGGATGAACCTATAGATATTCCATCCAAGACAAATGGTGTTCAATCTACAGTGGACTTAGTTAAAGGTCGTTTAGAACATCAAACTAAAAGGGACATTGCTGAGAAATGGACTAGTCATAATAAACATGTTGGTACAGCAGAACAAGTTGCCGACCAAATTGAAGAATTAGTGGAAAAATATGATATTGATGGGTTCAATTTTGGTGTTAGTGTTGTGAATGATTCACTTAAAGATCTTGTTGAATTGCTGGTCCCAGAGTTACAAAGAAGAGGTCTAGCTCAAACAGAATATCCTTCTCCTGAAGGGACTCTCAGAGAGAATTTCTATGGTATACCTGGTCAATCTTTCTTACCTGGTGACCATCCAGCCTATAACTTGAGATGGAGATCTGGTATTTCAAAAGAACAATTTGAGAAAGAGTTAGAGCTTTATGAACGTGTAAGAGATCAGAGAAGAAAAGTAGCAGAGGAAAGTATCAAAGCTGCCTCTCAATAATGGTCTAGATGTTTTTTTTAGAGGTTTATAGCTTTCATATTATAAAGTGACTATGAATGTATGTTGATTGTAGTCCCGGCAACGACATATTTTTTTTTTGCGACTAAATTATTATAAAGCATCTGCTTAAAGCACTTAAAAAGGAAATTTAAGCTAACATTGTGTTTAAATATATATCCATTTTGAATGATGATAATGAGAAAGATTTCGCAACTTCAACAAGATGTTACGATATTGAAAGAAAATTGTGGTATTCAATTGCATATTTAAACTAGTGGGAGGTACAATTATAGCTAAAGGTCTAGTTTTTATGATCTGGATGAAATTACCTTATAATACAGCATGACCGTGGATAATCCTAACGCTAAAGCTGATTATAAAAGAAAGCCTCTGATTTTAAGTGCTGCTACAAGAGCAAATGCAGGAAACTGGAGAAATCCAAATGACCATTCAAGAGAATTATCGAGAGATTTGAGCTCACTTATTGAGTTTGCCCAAATAGCTGAAAAGGGTAAATTCCATAACATTTTCTTTGTTGATCATCTTAAGTGGTTTGATGTTTATGGGAATAGTCATGAAGCTCCTGCAAAATATGGTGTCAATGCAACGAGAATTGATCCTGCTATAGCTGTCCCTGCATTAGCTGCTCACACAAAATCAATAGGGTTTGCCATTACCTTAAGTACCGTTAGTGAACATCCATATCATTTTGCTAGAAGGTTAGCTTCTTTAGACCATTTGACAAATGGTAGAGTTGCTTGGAATATTGTGGCCTCTTATATCCCAAGTATTGGTAAGAATTTGTTGAACGGTGAGCCATTACCAGAACATGATGAAAGATACGTTAAGACTGAGGAGTACCTTGATGTTGTTTATAAGTTGTTATTGAGTTCTTGGAGAGATGATGCTTTGGTGTATGACAGAGAAAATGGGATCTTTGCCAACCCTGATGCATTAAGAGAAATCAACCATGAAGGAAAGTATTTCAAAGTCAAAGGACCAGCAATCACAGAACCTTCCCCACAAAGATTTCCGTTGATTGCACAAGCTGGTACTTCTAAGAAAGGTGTCAATTTCGCAGCTGAAAATGCAGAACTAGTTTTCATTGGATTTGATTCATTATATAAGATCCCAGAATTCAAAAAAATTGCCAAAGAGGTATTCAATAGAGATCCAGATTCCATCAAATTTATCACTCATGTTACGCCTTTTGTTGGCAAGACGCACGAAGAAGCTCAAAGAAAATTTGACATTTTTGCAGAAACTGAAATTACTGAAGGTGGGCTAGTTTACTTTGGTGGTGTTTCTGGACAAGATTTATCTCATTTAGACTGGGATGATCCAATTGAGTTTGCAAATAATACAAATGGTGTTAGATCTACTGTTGATAACGTTAAAAGAACATTGAAAACCCAAACAAAAAAAGGCCTTGCAGAACAGTGGACTATTGCAAACAAAGCACAATTCTTGGGATCGGCTGAAGAAGTCGCTGATCAGATTGAAGATCTAGTCACCAAGTATGATGTCGATGGATTTAATTTTGGAAGTGCAGTTGTTCCAGAATCATTGAATGATATAGTTGAGCTATTAGTTCCAGAGTTACAAAAAAGAGGTTTGGCTCAAACTGAATATCCAGTCCCTGGTGGTACATTGAGAGAGAACTATAATGGTAAAGAAGGATCTAAGTTCTTACCTGGTGACCACCCAGCGTATAATTTAAGATGGAGATCAGGTATCTCTCAAGAACAGTTCGAGAAAGAGCTAAAGATATATGATACCATTAGAGATCAAAGAAGAAAGGCTGCTGAAGGTAGAGAATAACGTATAGAAAACAGAATTGTAAGCTTTTATAAATTATCCCATTATTTACATGTAAGCCGGTATATATACAAATAGAAAAATTCAAAACACATTGTTAGATGCAATTATTTCTAGCTATATAAGTTCGTAAATTTAATCATAAGATTAGTGCAAGGAAGTAAGGTTCGTTAGAGCGTCATTATCAACATCTAATTAGCCAACAACAAATTCAATCCAAGCTTTCATTCAAATCCACTCAATGGACGTGGTGTATAAATTGGATATTTATCCAATTTTCTTTCTTCTTCTTGCTTTCTTTCTTGTTCTTCTTGTAATTGCTTTTCTCTTTGTTTCTTCTCTCTTTGTTCAGCTCTTTTCTTAGCCTTTTGCTGTCTTTTCTTTTCTTCAGCAGAGTCATCTTTTAATTCAGGAGGGAATAATAATTCACCGGCCAATTTTGGTTTAACAATTTTATATAATAATAAATTGACCTCTTTATCAGTGAATGTTGGTAATTTACCAGTTTTTTCAAATGTTTGTTGACCTTGAATTAATTTTGTATTGACCAACTTCAACTCCTCTGAGCCAGATGCATTGCTTTTGAGGTTTTCTGGAATTTCACCAATGATACTGAAGGCATAACCAATAAATGTTTTACCAAATTGTTTCTTTTCATCAAGTGCTATTTCGTCTAATTCTTCAGGTGATATTGGAAATTTGACCCCTTTCAAAAACCAATCTTGTTGAACTTCCACAGTGTGAACTTGTGCATCTTTGTTGTATATAATAGCATAATCATCATTCATAACCCAAAGTACTATGACTCTTCTATCACCACTGAATTCCGTTATAATTGAATTACCATCTTTTTTCTGTGTTAATTGTTGATATCCTAGACCTCTGTAAAGAATGCTGGCCATATGGGATAATGCTTCTAGTGTATCTTTTATTGTTTTATTTGACATGATGTAGTATTAGCTGTACTGCTTTCAAACTGGTTCTACTTAAAAAACTATCCCTTTCTGTAAGTTCTTTAAATTATAAAATCGATATTGTGATTTTTCAGGCCAACTTTGGTAAATTCGCGGTGATATTTTATTGACACGGGATGGTGGCAGATGGTATAATAATTTTTTATAAATTTGCTGAACAAACCTCTAATAATTAGTGATATTGTGTAAAAAGGACATGAAAAGATATGTAGTACTGATATAAAGGTATCGACAAATATTTTAATTAGCTTGTGCGTTCTGCAGCCATGTGCATTGCCAAAATTAGTAATTATACTTTATACACAAAAGTGAAATTTCAAAAATTTTAAAGATAGTTAATATTAATGTCCTTCTAGCTAATAATCTGTGGGTTGTAACTTGTAATGTACCCTACTCAGTTTAGTTGATTGCAAATAATTAAATTAGAGCTGTCATGATCATTGTCTGTTTTATTTCAGATGCAAACATCATTGAATTATTGTTCCAGTTTTACTCTCTGATATAAGGACAACAGCGGCAGTTAGTGAATAGCAATTTTTTGAGCATTGAACAGCTAATGATAATATTCACACATTCAAGTTCGACCAAATGGCGACACAGACCTTGAATTCAATAGTGGTGAACTTCTTCCTCCAATCGGGATATCTGGATAGTCTATTTGAGGTTGAACTCTCTCAGCTTCAGATTGATCATTACTTCTCTTTACTTTATTCTTGAGTTTGGATGTTTCAGGTTCTAATAATACAGAAGGGTCTGGATCTGGATAATCAGCAATTTCTAATTCATCAATATCATAAGCCAAACCATCATCATCTTCTTCTTCATCTTGTTGTCTGAGTTTGAATTTTTGAACCTTTTCATCAAAGAGCTTACGAATCAATACTTGATGAATGAACTTTCTCATTAATTCAGTGTTATGATCAACATGGTTTCTTGCCCTATTCTGAAGGGTCTTTTGTACCTTTTCCTTTTCTCTGTAATTGTATGTTCTTTCAAAACCAGTATAAAAATTAAAGAATAACATATTTGATCTAATGTATAATTCACTTTTACCTAGGCATTCAGCTTCTGTTAGCTCACCTAGTTTCAAACAAACCTCTTTACTTTCCACAGGGAATTTCAATTTGGGATATAAATTATTGTAATTGAATGGAGCAGCATTTGATCCAATATGTGTTTTATATAATTGTAATAAGACTTGACCATTCTCTAGTTCAACAGTTGATAATCTACCGTCATTATGCAAGGGGAATAGAACTGAACAACATTGTTTGTCTCTAGTGAAATGGATCAAATTATCTTCGTGACCAAATTCATCAATCATCATTTTCATAAAGGGTCCAATGAAGGAAATCATCAAGACTTCCGCTCTTGTGTACAAAAGCTCAGGAATACCATTTATAACCTCACGCATGCTAAGTTTATATCAATAATAGATCAAGTATGGTGTGTTTAAAGGTCAATTGGGCTGTTCCCCAAAACAAGCTCAATAGTTTTAGAAGTAATCGAAGTACCATTTTAAGTTTTTAACAGCTGCACAAAAATGTGACAAAAATTCGCGCGTTCTTGATATACATAATTAAATATAATGTACAAAAAGATGTTCAGAGAAAATCATGACCTGTCTAAGGGAACGATTGAAAAAAGCCTAAGGAAAAAATTATTATTAATATTCCGATTGAGCTTCAATACTTGTATATGAAATGCTCGACTTAATCATCATTCATTTAATTCCATTATGTGCATGAACCATATTAATTCTATCTAATATGAATCAAGCTAACGATTTGACAATCAAATGTAACGTTAGACATCTCAGCTAAATATGACTTCACTTATTGAATTACAAAAGTAGCCTCATAGAAACATGTAAACTTCAAGAATAACCTTATCCAATTAAATAATCAAGAACGAAAAGTAGTGACACCTTGACTAAGTATACGCCCTACCAAATGGTGATGCAAGTTGAATATTCAAAAGTGGTGAACTATGTCCCCCAAAAGGAATATCTGGATATTGGATCCGTAGAGATTGTGTATCTGATGTACGTTCATCTTTCTCTTTTTGGGTCCTTATTACTTTGGTGTTATCGTTTCCAATCGTATCAGTTGGATCGGGATCTTCATAATTCTCAAGTCCTTTGTCTTCTTCAATATGGTCTTTCAATATAAGATTTTCATCATCTTTGCTTGATTCCTCGTTTCCACCGTCATTCTTTCTCTTTGATTCTCTATTAATCAATTGGACACTTAACAAACTTTGATAGAAAAACATTTTGAATTTGTCTGTATTTGAATTAATTATATGTTTTTGAGATCTCATTTTAAGATATTTTTTTGTCATTTCCTTTTCTCTCTCGTTGAAATCAACTCTAAATTTTGAATACATAGCATGGAACCATGTAGATGATTTATCTTTATAACTTTGATTTAAAAGCTCATCAAAAGTATCAAAATCTGGTTTCACATATTCAACTTCTAAACATATTTCAGTTGTTCTCAAAGGTAGTTGTAGATTAGGTACTATTTGATTAAAAGTGAAAGCATCAATTTCTATTGAATTTGTACCTAGACCAGGTGCATTGGAAAATTGCAACAGGAAACTTTTCTTTAATGGCATTTCAAATACCGAGTATCTTGTATCCATTATTGTGTCTATTATTATTGTACAGCTTTGTTCATCTCGTATGTAATTAACATAATCACCCAAATTTTCACAACGTTTCCTAGTCGAACCAAGAAGTGGACCAACAAAAACCACTAGGAAAACTTCTGAATTGGTATGGAGGAAATCTGGCAAGTCTTTTCTGACTTCTCTCGTCATGAAAGCTGTGTAAGATAAAATATTTGCTGAACACTGCGCAGTATTCTGCTTTATGGTTAATTTGAATTTTGATCAATGATAATTTAACGGTCAGCCGATCGTATTTTTATTTGATATTCAACTTTGACAGCAGATTATATAAGCAAAAATGAATAAGAGCTTTATGGCAGTAGCAAAACGATCATTGGTTAGTGAATTTGGGATATTCATGAGGTTGATAAGTTGGCTTTCATATTTGATGAGTAATTAATCGGTAGATCGTTGGAGAGTTAGTTGTTTAATTGTTATTTGGAATATTATTGATCAAGTACGATGCTCTTAAATTTTCAGCAGCTGATGTTAAAGGTGGTTCATCATCATCTTCTTCCCAGCTTGAAGCATTATAGTCATCACCAGCTATAGGTGTCAAATCAGCTACTTCCACATTTCCTATGATTAATTTGGATTCCACGGGGTAGTTAACATCACCAAATATTTCACTAACTTTAACGATGAAACCTTTTTGTTTAAGCGTTGGAATGGAATCATGGAAGATATCAAACACAATAAATTCATCGTTATTAAACATTTGAATTATGTTATCCATAATTCCTGGGTTATGTATAGTTATTCTCATTGGATCTTTTATGACTTTAAGATGTTGATCTTCCCTAAGACCTTCTTTTGCCCATACTCCCATCTTTTCAATGAGTCCTCCATGGAGTGAATAACAGACTAGTTCCATTGGAGTATGGATCAAATCAGGAACAGAAGCTATTGACATTTTGAATTGAATTATAACGAGTTATTCGCCTGTAATCCATCAATATCACCATCTTAATTTAAGGATACAATGACAAGTAAACTTGGAGAAGTTCAAGATCAAAAAGTCGTGGAGATGGTTATATAAGCAGAATTGGATATTGATTTCTTCGCGAATCGATTATTTAAAGCCATAATATTTTATATCTGATAAGATTTTAGCTTTTATTTTGTACGAGATCAACAATAATTACGGAGGAAATTAGACTTTCACAAGGGTATTGAAGTGCTGATCAAATATGACCTGGACCATCATAGACAAAAACAACATTCACCCGATTGAGCAACAGACCCTTTAACTCCCCAGATGCGTGTTTGACAGCGATACGAGATAGGAAATCAAGTTGGATGCTTGGGAAAACGTGGTTAACGTATCAACCAATCATTACCGGAATATCCACAAGAAACATCAACAAACCATGGAATTATAACTTCTGAAGAAATCTTAAGTCTCAGAGACTGTAAATACGATGCTTGATTTGCAATTCATAACGTTTTCTAGATCAATGGCTGCTTCTCGGACGATCTGTTATGGATTCTGATCCAATCAACTTGGTGCACATGGTGGCCCATTATTAACTCAAGAAGAGTCAAGCTACTTTATACAGCATCAACTATGGTAAATCATTCATTTGCTCGAGAGCAGAGAATTAAGGTAAACAATGATGAATCTATGTCTATATAAAGTGATTAGAATCCCCCATGTCAAAAGACCCTGCTCATCTACTATTGTATCACATCATTAAACAATGCAATTATCATCAACCATCTTAACTGCTTTGGCTTTAGCCATCACTTCAATTGAAGCTATCCCAGTCCCAGCTGGTCAACCATTATCTTCAAATGTTCAAAAACAATCAATCAAACCATATTCACAAGAATCATTAGATAATTTCAACGTTTTGAAATATTTAGATACCGTTGCTCCATATATCCAAGGTTCAGGTTATGGTATTTCAAAAGAAGTTCCATATAAATGTAAAGTTACACAAGCTAATTTATTATCAAGACATGGTGAAAGATATCCATCTTCTAAAAAAATTGAAAAAATTAATAAACATTTCCAAGATTTGAAAAATTCTACAAATATCGAAGGTCCTGCTGAATTTTTAGAAGGTTATGATTTTGAAGGTCTTGAAGAAAAAGAAGCTGGTGAAGAAACTGCTAAAGGTCCTTACTCAGGTCTTTTAGATTTATATGCTCATGGTTCTATTTTCAGAGAAGCTTATGATGATTTATATAATGAAGAAGTTGGTATTAAATTTTATTCTGCAAGTGGTAGTAGAATTGTTGCTTCAGCTGAAAGTTTTGCACAAGGGTTTTTAGGTGAATCTTATAACAAATCATCAATTCAAATCATTGATGAAGAAGATAAATCTTTAGGTGCAAATACTTTAACTCCTGTTGATACATGTGAAAATTATGATGAAGATTCAAATGAAAAAAAATTAGATGAATTTGATGATAAATTTTTGAAAAAAATTGCTAAAAGAATTAATAGTGAAAATAAAGGTTTAGATTTATCTAAAAAGGCAGTTAAATCATTAATGTATTATTGTGGTGTGGAATTAATGGGTGAAGGTTCTACAGAAATTTGTGATTTATTTACTCCAAATGATTGGGTTGAATATGCTTATATGAGAGATGTTAAATATTATTATGAAAAAGGTCCAGGTAATAAATTATCTGAAACTTCTGGTAAACCTTATGTTGAAGCTATAATTAAAGCTTTGAAAGATGAAAATTTAAATTTGACTTTATCATTCACACATAGTTCTGATATATTCCCTGTTTTATCTGCATTAGGTATTTTCAATGGTGATGAAGAATTACCAATTGATCATCAAGTTTTCAATCATCCATGGAAAATTTCAAATATTATGCCAATGGGCGCCCGTTTAATCTTGGAAAGATTGGAATGTGAAGATGAACAAGATTCTTTTGTTAGAATTATTCATAATGATGCTGTTATTCCAATTGAAAATTATTCTAAAGGTCCTGGTTTTAGTACCTCATTAAAAGATTTTGAAAAATATATTAATGAAAGATTAGATGGTAAAGATTTTAGAAAAGATTGTGGGAATGATGATAATACTCCACAAGATTTAACAATCTTTTGGGAATGATTTGATTTAACCTTTTGTAAATATAATTGTAAATATAATTGTATTCTAGGTAAATGTTTGATATTCAATATAAATACCAGCTTGTCTTGGTTTAAGTTGTAGCAATTTATTTTGAAAAAGTCCAATCTTCTATAACTTTCACCATT